ACAAAATTAATAAAAATAATACCGTAAAAAACAGCTAGTTTTTCTTTGGTTCCTATTGGTTTTAGGGGATTACAACCATCTGAATAAATACTGTTTTCTATTATATTATGTACTCCATCAAGTTGTTTTCTGCTTAATCGAAAATAATTTAAATAACGGGACTCAGAGAATTCTGATGATAGTGCAAATTCCCCGTGAGTATTTCTCTTTTTCATATAGTTGCTTTTCCAGAATGATTTTTTTCTCTTTGACATGTTGAATAATAAAACTGTTTCTTTAAACTCTGCGTCTGACTCTGATTCGGAACTGTCCAGAAATAACGCCATTATTTAAATTATAAAATTCTCTTTCTATGTTCATATATATAATATATTCGATATTCGCACCTCAAAATGTTCGAGAAGACTGCTTCCAAATATGCGCTCACACTGCGTGACACGCATATTTTCTGACCTGTGTAGCCTGCCCTGCACTACGTCACCTGTGTCACCTGCGTCCCAATGTGCTGCTTACTTTATGCTTTTGATACGTATTGCGGAGCTAAGCCTTCAGCTAACGAAGAACAGATGAAACCGAGAAAGTCTAAACTGCCACTAGGATCACAAGTTGGTTTAGATCTCGTGAGTATTATTACAGTTCCAACTGACCACATAATAGTTTTCGATAACTATTTTGCGAGTTATGAACTTTTAGTGACATTGAAACAAAAAAGTATAAGAGCTACGGCACAGTTCGTAATAATCGTGTCAAAAATGTCCTCTTATACAAGGCAAAGAGATAAAAAGAAAAGATGGTGGATATTATGATCATTGCTACGATGAAGCAAGTACTATATTATTTGTAAGATTGAACGACAACAGTACTGTAATCATAGGTACCAATTACGATACCATAGAGCCCCTTGCACAAGTGAAGCGTTGGTGTGCAAAACAAAAAGAAAAAGTAGCAGTGTCACAACCTCAGTTATTTAAATTTTACAATTTATTAATGGGGGGGTGTTGACTTTTCGATCAAGGGGTAAATAATTACAGAATCAGCATACGTGGAAAAAAATAGTGGTGGGTACTCTTTACCCATATAATAAATGTGACAGTCAATACGTGAAAACTATATAGAATTACAAGTGAAAATGACAAAATAGATTTGCCACTATTTAAAGAAACATTGCCCACCATTACTGCAGAGCTTTCTACAAAGCCATACAAAGACGATCTACAGCTATCAAAATATCTGGTTCGCTGCCAAAGAGTATAGTAGATACTCCTGATGACCATTTATCTAAAACAACCACGAACCCTCGAAGATGTCACTAATGCCACGTGAGAGTTAGATGGATGTTTGAAAAATACAATGTAACTCTTTGCACTGAGCAGAGAGAATGTTTTAAAATATTTCACTCATAATTAATTATGTGTATTATGTATAAGTACAATTAATGTTTCCTTAGTCTATATGCATTTTTATGTACATTATTTCTACTGGTTATATATAATCATATTTTATATATTTTATACTGATTATCCCAGTGTACCTGCTTGGGTGCACCATTTTCAAAAATTTTAAAAAATGTACAAAATATTTTTTATATAATTATGATCATAATTAAAAGTAACCCTAAAGGATTTAGGTATTTTTAGTTTATCTTATATCGGTGGGCATTAATGGGATAAAGATATTTTTAAGAGCAAAGGCACAATATTAACTGGCGCTTTGTTTCAGTCCATTTGACAGCTGACTTACTTCACCTTAACCTTGCAGGGAAATAGCCATGTTTTAAGTTGAAGGTGAGGGTAGTGTTATATCTTCGAGTTGATATCAAATTCTGATTTTTTATGTGTTTATGTATTGTATGGTTTTTATTATTTTATTTTTTATTATGTATAATAATTGTATTAAGATTTAGTTTAATATTTGTAGATGAATACCTACTTACATACTTAATGAAGGAAAATGGGCAGCAAACCCATCAACTGAGGGTAGCAGGCTTCAGTAAGCAATACTAAACGAAAAAGGCAGCAACAAAGACATACCAATAATTTTCGTAAATAGGTCAGAGACACTATATACAAATAATTATACATAATACATTCTTGGGTCATATTCTTAGAATATGACAAAAGTATTCATTATATCTTGCAGGTCTTGTAGTGCTATATCGTCAGAATATTTAAATTATTAAAAGAAATGTCTCAGGTATATTTTAATAAAGCATAAGCAATGAATCACAGAAACCGTTATTTTGTAAATACAACATAAGTGATTGATAAATGTTTATATCATATTATAATAATCTTTTAATTGGTCCAGAATTTTTCGAGTATATTTAATTCATCTTGATTACCTTATCCGATGATTCATGAAAGAGTTGATAAAACGGTGAGTAATAAGAAGAACTGAATATTAAAAAGTGTCGGTGGCTCTTTTAGTTACAGGAAGTACTGTAAATCTTTAGCTCTCATATAGGCCAGGCAAATAAGCATAAAATTACCTTGTTTGTGACACTAAACTGGCCAGGCAAATGACAGTTGTTTTGAGTAATATCGACGTCTGTAACTTCTACCTATGTATATGTTTCCTGCAGTCGATTTTTTGGACTGTATTAACAAATTAAATTCAAAAAACAGACAATTTTCGCTGTTTTCGTTTATCAGCAAAAAATTAAGAATGTAATACAAATTTAAAGGTCTTATCAGTCATATAAAAACCTTCAAAATGACGTTTTTTAAAAGGGTTTATTTGTTTGACTTTTTTAAAATAAACATAGAACCTTTATATAAAGTACGCTTTACATTTACGACTACTCGGATCCGAGTTACTGTATCGGAGTGCAACTCGGAAGTATAAACGTCTACTCGAAACCTCTTGTCACCCGTATCCCAGCTCGGATTGAAGATAAACGCAAACCGAGTAGCAGTACTGGTTTCTGTCAGTTCATTGTCAGTTTCTATACGAGTGAGCGCTAAAGTGGTGGAAATTCCAAATTAAAAATGGCGGAACTAAGATTTTCTGCAGATCAAATGGATTAATTTATCAATCTTTACCGTTCATATAAATGTCAATGGAATGTGAAACTAAAGGAGTATCGGGAAATTATCAAAAGAAATAATGCGTACAGATTTCAGATCTTGTTCCACTTGTTTCATGTATCTAAGTTTGGGTCTTTCCTTTGAATTTCTCCCTTTGTCCGATCTTTATGGATGTTACGATCTGGGGTTCATTGTATGCTATGTATAGTTCAAAGTTATATCTTCTGCGCCATATGTCATTTTCTTTTACTCCCTTATATATGTGTCTAAGGATTTTTCGTATCTGGTTTTTATTTTGCTAATGTTTAGGCCACTGTTTTGTGCCGCTTTTTCGGTCGCATTAAATGCTTCTATCACCTCTCTTTTACTTCTAGCTATGAAATCAACATCATCTGCAAATGGCAATATTTGTACACTTTTTGATATTATTGTTCCTCTGGTGTTGACTTTTGACTCCCTTATTATTTTCTCTAACGTAATGTTGAACAGAATACAGAATAGGGTATCTCGCTGTCGTAGGCCCGTTCTCACATGGATTGTATCTGTTAGCTCGTTTTGAATTCGAATTTTGCTTTGTACTTTAAGCGTTTCTTTTATTCTATCAATCAATTCAGTTGGAATATTAAACTCTTTCAGTGCATGGATCAGAAACTCTCGATGGATACTATCATAGGCACTTTTAAAGTCAATAAAAAGATGATGTGTGTCTATATTAAATTCACTAGTCTTTCCAAGATTTGCCTCAAAACGAAGATCTGATCTATTGTGGATTTCTGCCTACGGAAACCACATTGATATCATCCAACTATTTGTTCCGCGTATGGTCTCAATCGGTCATACAGAATATTTGACAGTATTTTATATGCCACAGTCAGTAGCGTTATTGCCCGGTAGTTTTTGCATTGAAGCTGATCTCCCTTTTTATGTAGTGGTTTAATTACTTGAGTATTCCAGTCTTGTGGCAGTTGTTTATTATTCCATATGTTTACTTTTAGTTCGTGTATCGCATTCAATGGGGAGTAACTACCTTCCTTTATTAATTCTGCGCTAATATTGTCCAATCCAGGTGACTTGTTGTTTTTCAGTCTGGTAACTGCTTCTTGCATTTCAGCTACTAAAGGAGGGTTGTTCCTCTGGTATCTGTTTGATCCAGTATAATTCCATCATATAGTGGATCTTCGTTTCTTCAAAACTTTCCTTTGAAGAATTCTGTCCATCTTTGTAGTATTTCACTCTGTTGAGTTACTATATCTCCTTCTTTGTCTTTACACATCATTGTTTTTGGTTTAAATTCTTTTCTGCTTTTGTTAAGTTTTTGGTAGAATTTTCTGTTTTCTGGTGGTCTATTTAGTTTTTCCATTTCTTGGAGTTCTTTTTCTATGTGTTTTTTTTCTTTCTGCGATGTATTTTCTTCTCCTACCTCCTTAGCATTCTATATTCCTCCTCTGCCTTTTGTGTTCTATGTCGTTGTTGTAAATCGTTGAAATGCATAAATTTTTTCACTCTGTAATATTACGACACTCTTTATCAAACCACTGTCCTTCAGTTGATTTGGGCTATTTTTTTAGATCCAGAGTCTCTTTGGCCGCGTCTTGTATGATGTTTTTACATGCTTCCCAGTCTCTGTTTATATCCTCGTGCTTGTGTCTATTTTCTAGCCTTCCTTTTACCAACTTTATCATATTAAAAGAAAACTCAATCTGTACTTACATTTTTGGATCGTAATAATAAATAATTCTTCACCAAATGCACATAATTAATTGCATAGCTATCAGCAGCTTTAAAACGTCGAGCCTTCGCAGTTTTAGATGGTTGGATAGTAATAAGCAATACTATTCCTTCTTCCTTCATGTCATGGAAGCGTAAATCGCACCTTTCACATCTTTCATAATTTAATTTTTTCATGAGTTAAAAATACAGAAAACTTAAAACCAAAAAAAAGGATACTAAAGGATACTAATAACAACCAAAAATAATGTTTGTATATGTTTATTTCTATTTCGGTGTATGTGTATTTCTATTCTAAAGTTTAATAACTTATATAGGGTGGATTTATGTAATGGTCCAACAAAGATTTAAAACTATAATAATTTCGGGGATTCTCTTGAACTGTGAACTGATTATTTAAATCTAAGTACTTCACAGCATCGGGTTTAACTTCTGGCCAAATTACGTTTTGAAGTTCTTCATCCGACTCTGGAGTGGGATTTCTAAAATATACCAAAGCAAATCTAAGAACAATCGGCGCGCAAGAGTACTCAATTTAAACAATTAGACTACTTTTCAAATACTCTATGTATTTACAAACACAATATTTACATATACAGACTGGGCACATACATTTTTTATCTTTTACACACTAAATGTATTTACTCACAAACTGTGTGTTCATATATGGGCACATAACATCCAGCGATTCTATCTGGTGCAATAAAGCCAAAAAATTAGAAAACTACAAAATATACAGGAAATCTTTTACTGAATACAGTAAAGAGATAAGCAAAACGAAATGGCAATGTTGGAGATGATTCTTCCAGAGTTTTTTAGATATATCTGACAGCACTAGAATCCACAAAATGTTTCCAAGGATCGAGCACAGGGACCATGTCTACTTAAAAGAAAAAGAAACCACTAGAGCTCTTACTACATAACGATGTCATAGGTTCAAGACTGGGAATTCTTTGCAATAAACATCAAACTGCAGAATGTAAAGTGGGTCATAAACCACTATGTTCAATTTAAATTTCCAGGGGAAGTTGAAATATTTCCTTCCCTAGTTCAAAAAGGATATAATATCTTATTGCTCATCATAATTATATTTGGTCATTTATTTATTTATCAATCATCAATACATATGTGTGCATTTAATTCAACAAAGCGATAGCAGATTTTGCTAGAAGATTAAGTCTTTTACACATTTCGCATAGCCCAGAGGACACAGAAAACGATGTTATTATATCGTTTTCGTTCACGGTCGCCAAAGCAGGTGGCGCCTCTGTACGCTAACTACTGCTGTAGATAAGTTTTGGGAGACTTTCCTTGGACTTTCCAAATTTGAATTTGTATCAGCCCAAGTATCTGATGAGGCTGGGATAGGCCGACATAATTCATAACACTTTATTGATACCGATTCGAGCACGCCTAGGCTATATATTTGGTCATTTATTTCATATATATATATATATATATATATATATATATATATATATATATATATATATATATATAGGAAAAGAATTTGAGGTTAGTATAGGATATTTTTAGGCTAAGCTCTCAGCCTTGTTTCCTCAGAATAAGTAGTAGAGGAGACATCCAGGAGCTCGCGTCCGCAGGGGCGCTAAATCTCTGAAGTAGATCTATCTTCTATCGAAAGATACTGCACTGCTCTCTGCAGGAATACACAATGGGACGTTGAGACATGCGTTTATGTTCGATAGAGGACAGAGCCAGTTGAACAGAATTGTTAGGTGGTGCAACAAATGGAGAGTCATACTTAATCACTCCAAAACTAAACTAATTTTATTCAAATCCCCTCACAGCCGCGATGCTGGAAGGAACCAGAGAGCCCTCCTAGGAGTAAATCTTTATTTCAGAAACTCAGTGTCCTACTTGGGAGTTCATTTTAGCAGGACTCTTAACTGGACATTGACATCAAAAATACCTTAAAGGGTGTAAGAGACAGAGCTAGATTCCTGGAAGTGCTATCTGGAATACTCGCAAATACCTCTACTATAACTATCTTGCACACCTATAAGACTAACGCAGGCACTAACACTCAGTGTCGATCGTTTCGATCGGGATCATAGATAACTACCTACTCGCTGCCATGTAGATATTGGTGGGGCAAGTTGACAAATTGAACAATTTTGTCATCCAGGCAATGTAGTTAACACACCATATTGTACAAAGGTATAAATAAAAAAACAACCTAAGTGCCAGAAGCCTTTAATATATTAAACAAAATATAAAAATTAACAAATATAATGACAGATAAAGCTGCAAAAATTTTTAACATACATCAACAATACACGTCTTTATGAAGCTTAGAGAAGTAGCTGACCGAGCAACAACAAAATATTACACCAATGCAAATATTTGTAAACAAACGCTTGTTAAAATTCATCATATATTTTCGCCATAAAAATATCCTATAATAAACTGACATATCAATATGAAGAATATTCGAGCAAGAAACAAAGAAATAAGCACCAACTGTAGAAGGTGAAAATTGATTAGGACATACATTGAGGATATTCCATAATATCTTTATTAGACAGACATAAAAAATTAATCTAACAAGCAAAAGAAAAGAAAGAAACCGATAAAATAGCTGACAACTAATTATTTTTTTTTAATTGTAAAGTCAAAATATATCTTCGAGCAATTCAACAAGTGGTCAACTAACTGGTCAACAATATAACTCTGATGAAGTTAAACTTAAATGCAAAACAATCGCCATTTTAGAGTTTTGGCTATTGTAAGTACCTACAAAGTGCTACAAGTCAAAGAGAGAAGATATTGTTCAATACAACTATAATATCATATTATTGCTTTGGTAACACAAATCAGCCATAAAAAGTGGGTAGCACTTAGCCCGTTAAAGCCTTTTAAGCAGACCAGCAAAGAGTTCTTAAAAAAGATTTTGAGCTTTGTACTACTGCAATTTTTGTAGCATACAACCGATTTTATAGGTTGTTGTGGATGTCAGATTAGTTGGGTTGAATGATTTTTCTCGACATACTTCTACTTTTTTACTAGTTTTTTCTTTTAAAAATTGTACTTACTGGTATTTAATAAAATTAGTCCACAATTTTAGAAGAGGTTTTCGGAGTGCTTCACTATTTGGGTCAAAAGGACTTGTTCTTCCACCCCAAAAGTACCATAAATCAGCTGCATGCGGTACTCCTAAAAAGTAATATTATAAATATAAATATAGATCTTAGATTCAAAAAAAACCTATGATGGCATATCCTCAGTAAATTGTGACCTGCAATGGAGTATAAATATGTAGATCGAAGTGATGTAGTATAGTGCTACACTTTTTTCTAAAGCCATATTAATTACAGTGAAGTATTTTGTGTTTTTTTAGATATTCTATCAAACGAACATTCAGAATACTTTCAAAAATTCTGCCGAAAATGGTTATGATTGAGATGGGACGATATTGTCCAATTTCATCTAAAGCTCCCTTTTTGAACACTGGTAGCACCTTTCTTACTTTAATACATCTGGAAAAATCCCTTCAGTAAGAAAGTTATTATAAAGTATAATTAAGTTGTCAATAATTATATCGATTGTTTTCACAATTATCTTTTTGTATAACAATCAAAAATCCGCGCAGTGTTAATTTTTCAATATACGCAAAATGTTTCTGATTTCAGTATCATAACAGGTAATAAAAATTAAGAGTCACAAGGAGAGTGTACGTCTTTCAAAAAATCTATGGCTACAATTTCATTTATAGAATTAAAAGAACTCCTAATATGTTTAGCTACTAAAGTAAGTAATATTTGAAATCGTTTGATGTAATCGTGCTTGGAGAGACTTTTTTTTTGAATTTTATTTCTGTGATAATTATAATCTTTCCAACTGTCACGAGATATATTTTCTGAATTGGAAAAAAAATTCTCGTAAGCCAGTTTTTTCTTTAATGATATTGTTTGATTTATAGTGCTTCTTAAACTTTTTATACTCACTATATTCCTTTGTAACATTAGCAATTATCTTGACTGTGGAAAAGAGTTTCTCACATTACTATTATTTCATTATCAAACCAAGAAATTGGAGCTTTACTATGAGTTCGTAATTTTTTTATTGGAAAATTAGTTTCGGTTAACGTTATTTAACGACTTTTTTAACATCAGGATGGCATTATCCCAATAAATTGCGGCGTATCAAAGTTATATTTTTTCTTATAGTACACAGGACACCCTGTAATTGATCATCCATGTACATATCTTAATCAGTGTTGAAGCCATAAATAAATCGTTAGTACGTAAAAAAAAATTGACACCAGTATCATTTGCGGGCATACGTTTATATAGCCACCTGTTATTCTTTTTCATGCAAAATCACTCCCTGAAGTTAGTTGCACGTATTTAATAAAACTGTATATTTTACAAATATGTATTATTCAATAGGACTCAAAACGGACACTTTGAACCTCTGTAATTCGAAACAATTGATTTCTTAGTCTTAGTGCAATAATAACTTTTGATCAGCATGACCAAAGGACTGCAAAGGTTTAACCAATTTAACTGAAACTACTTTAACATAAGAAAAGTGCCGTCATTAAAGAAACAAGTCAATTTTGTAATCTTCTTTTTGATGTGCCTATTCATTACGAATGTTGGCGATCACCATGGCAATCTTCTCCTTATCTGCAGCAGCGCGGAAAAGCTGCTGAATTCCTCTTCGTCCTCGTATTTTACCCATCATAATGAGTTGAAGAATACTATATCGGTCTCCCCTTACTACGTGTAAAAAATAGGCCATCTTTCTACATTTGATGTGCGTCTCTTGTACCAACATTATTTGTGAAACCGAACTGTTTGGAGGAAATTCGACTTTCACACAGCTTGTAGATTCTCTTATCAAAGTGACTTTCGTGATACTTCTTATTATCTTTATCAAAAGTTAAATACCATCATGTTTCTCATGGTGCAAGTGTTTAGATGTTGGCTATCATCACGTTAAATATTACCAGGTCTTTATCAGCAGCCAACCGACATACATTTTCCACCTAAAGAGAGAAGATTGGCTTATTTTACACAACCAAGATATGTTCGTATTCTGTTTTTCTTTACCTTAGCACCTCCCTCTTTGTATTTATTAATATAAGTGAAATCACCAAATTATTATTCTATCTGTATAAGGATTTTTACTGCTGTCGCCGCCTTTCTTCTTTCAGCCAACGTCTCCAGTCCTTTCTGTTCTGCCATTCTCCATCCTAAGGTCTCGTCTTTCCATGGTCTCGTCCACTTCATCTCTCCATGATCTTCGGGGTCTACCTCTTTTCCTCCTTCCTATTGGGCTCCAATCCGAAATCTATGCTATCCACCTTGTATGATCTGTTTTTCTCACATATCCATGCCAAATTAAATGTTCTTCTTCGATGTAGCTGAGTATGTCTTGTTCTACTGCCATTCTTCATTTTATCTCCTCATTTCTAATGCGATCTATTTTTATCACTCTGCAGCTTCTTCTCATGAACTCCATTTCAGTTGCTGTGCTTTTGGACCTGTTTCGTTTATTTATTACCCAATTTTCTGCTCCATAGGTCATTATACTGCGTACCAAGGTGTTATAAATTCTCTTATTACCAAATTATTTGTTAAGCTACCCAAATTTTATTTGTTTAAACAGATAAACTTACCCATCTCTGTACTGTTGTCTGGCAACCATGATAGCTCATACAGGTAGACAGGTACATATCGGGAGGCACTTTCAGCTTGGCGTATTATTGATCGAGTAAAAGCTTCGTCACTAGTGTACTAAAATAAAATTAATCGTATATTAAGTTGTATCAATTTTTTTAGACAATTTGCTACCCGCTCTATACTAACACGATTTGTTTTTATCAGAAACCCATATTTGTCCACTTTCCTCTCGTAGCCATTTTTAAACTTTTCCGGTCATAAGCAGCTTGCATCCGATTTTTCTGGTGATGCATTTTATATCGTTAAACTATCTTGTTAGTGTACGACCTCTGGTCCAGAATATATCTATTATCTTAGTCCCCTCTCAATAAATTATCAAACAATATTGCCTAGAAATTGAACAGCTCAGGAAAGATTCGACACCTTTAGTGTCCATAAAAAAGTAAAAGGAATGACAGGTAGACATAGAATGATCCAAGAAACAATATTAAATAATAATAATAATGACATAATTATGGGTACAGAAGACAAAATGCAAAGATGAAAAGAATATTCAGACACTTTTTGACGATGATAGACCTTATTCTCTACCATCCACGGATAATGGAATAAATGAAAGAGGTCCCAAAATAACAAAAGAAAAAGTTATTTATGCAGTTTGTAACGTTAAAAACGTCACACCCTTATTAATTTATATTTAAGTAAGGGTACGTCAATGACATAAAGAAAAAAAATCATTTTCTCAAATAATACAAGTTTGAGAAACAATTTTAAATGACATTAAAACAGTGAGAACGTAACACTGAGAGGACTATAAAATCGAAGACTAAAGAATTTAAACAGACCTTTCTTCGTAGAATAATGCACTTTGTAATTTAGTAGATCTATTACTTTATTAGTTTGATAATAAGAAAAACATCTTACCTTTACAAACGTATTTCTATCTTCTGCAAATGAAGAAAAATTGTATATCCCTTTTAGACTGCTGCCAACTGTCTCTTTGTCTTCTTCAGCTACATTAAGGGATTCTGCTACAAGATTTGATGGACTTTTATCATATGATTTGGCTCTTTCTTCAAGGGTTGCATTCTGCATTTCTACGAAAAAAAAAAGACACTTTTAATTGACAAGAAGGGTCCAAATAGAAATGAAATGACATTTTTTATTTATAGTGGGACTATTTTACATTGCCCCTTAAGTCTATATACACTGATCGGCAAAAAATTTACCAACAGCTGAAAATATTTAATTAAACAGTAATTTAGCTGTTCAAACGTGGATTTTGACTAAGGAAATAATTAAGACAATATGGTGTGATCTACAGTAGATGTTGCTCGACTTACTGCATTGCTAGAAGACCGAAGAAGTCAAGTTTATATATCCAAAACTTTAGGTATTTTGAGAAATACAGTACGGAGAGCTTTCCATCGCTTTATAGAGATTGGTACATACTCACGTCGATCTGGTTCCATTCGTAGAAGAGTTACCCCGCAAAGAGATAATAGTTTTATCATGATGGAACTTTTAATAAACCGCGATTTCACTACAATTGCTACAAAAAACCGTGTGCAGAAGGTTCAAAATGTAAGTGAGAAAACGGTTAAAAGACACCTAAATGAAAGAGGACTAATAGCAAGAAGGCCTGCTATTGTTCTCGAATTACAACACAGACGCTGTAGGAATCGATATATTTTTGCTCCACAACATCAACACTGGGATATATAAAATTCAGCCAAATTCTCTTTACTGATGAATTGCGGTTCTGTTTGTGTCGATGGCCGAGCGAAGGTTTAGAGATAGAGAAATGTAAGATATGCCCAAGGTTGTATGCCCCAGGGAAGAATGTTTGGCGATGTTTGTGTCATGTTTTCAACTGGAATCTCATTAAAATCTCGAACTGAACTTATTTCATCAATGACGCCATGAATGGTCACCGGTATATGGAGGATGTTTTAGCAGATGTAGTAGTTTCATTTGGTTCATTTATTGGGGATAACTTTGTCTTTATTCATTATATAGCCAGCCTGCAGCCCTGATTTGACAGTGATCGAACATATTTGGGACAAACTTCATTGCAGAGTTAAAAGTCAAGCAGTCCAGCCCGAAAGTCTTGCAAAACTTCAAAACATGCTTCGTGAAGAATATGAACATATTTCTCAAGTTTGTGTTTAAAATTTGTTTCTTTTTCTTCCAAATCATATGCAAACGGTTATTAATGTTTTATGTAATAATACCAGATATTAGACAATTTTAAGTTCACTCGTAATTTTTATTGTTTGTAATTCGTTTCGACATTACACTATGTTTTTTTTGTAGCCTTCTAATTAAATAAATTATGCTAAGGGATCAAGCAGTAATAGCCATTTTTTGTTTTAAAAATGAAAGATGTTTAACCTTCATCCAGGCGCGCCGCAGTTAATTTGCTGCGTAAACTCAATATTTCCAGTTAAAGTGTTAACGGGATACTCTATGTAAGTGATATTTTTAAAATTTCCTTATTGTTAATCCTTAGGCGGTACCCATCATCGTCTTGTGAAATTAAAATCCAATTAGTAAGTTATCGTACTTTATTGTGAATAGTACATCGAGGCAGACAATTGGTGCAAGGCGCCTGGTAGTGAAATTCGCGCAATTTTTTTTTGAAATAACTAATATATTATATATCTTTTTCAAGAAATTTAAATTTTATTGGTAAGTAAAATTGTTAATAATATAATTATTTATAAGAATTAATAATATATATGAAACACATTAGAATATTGTAGAATTCTATATTATAACATATTTTATAATTTTAGATTACGCCATGTCTCGTAAAAATCCAAAGGAAGTGTTAACCCAAGCACAATTAGAGGAAATTCTAAATAATATGACAGATATTGAAGATGAAACAGATTAAATATTGGAAATTGATAGTGATTTGGATGAACAACAAATTGATGAGAACCACGACGATACATGTTCAGAGCAAAATATGTCAGATGATGAGGAAGTGTCTTACGAAAACGTTGAAGATATATTCATTGGCAAGGATAAAACAAGTAAGTGGTATAAAACTTCTTTTGCCACATCTAAGACAAAGCAACAACATATAATGAGAGTACCACCGGGATTAAAAGGAACCGCACGTCAAATAAAAACAGAAATTGATGCGTTTTTTACTATTATCAATATTGATATGGTTGATGAAATTCTAATTTTTATCAATTTATATATAAATGAACATAGAGATAAAACGCAATATTTCAGAGATAGAGATTGCAGAAATGTGGACAGGAGTGAGTTATTGGCCTTTTTTGGACTACTCTATTTGATTGGCATAAAGCACGGCAATCACACAAATGTGATGGAACTTTGGGAAAAATATGGCACAGGGATTGATATTGTTCGAGCAGTAATGAGCTACAAACGTTTCCTATTTATTGAACGTTCATTGAGATTTGATGATAAAGCTGTCGGCCATTAGATCGTTTTTTAACAGATTTATTATAAAATGTCAAAACTCGTATAATTTGTCAGAGTATACAATAATTGATGAAATGCTCCATCCCTTTAGAGGTAGGTGTAGCTGGATACAATATATACCCAACAAACCTGCTAAGTACGGGATAAAAATGTACGCGTTATGTGATGCTCAAACATTTTATACCGCCAATTTAGAGATATATTGCGGTAAACAGTCAAGTGGCCCTTGACTGTTTACGACTTATCAAATTCAGCCTTTGACGTTGTAAAACGTCTAATAGAGTCCGTAGAAATGACAGGAAGAAACATAACAACAGATAATTTTAATAGTAGTATTCCGTTAGCTAGATATTTGCTGCAGAAGAAAAAAAAAACAAAACAGAAATTCCTCAAGAATTTCTTTCACATAAATCAAGGGCAGTCCAATCTAGCATATTTGGATTTCAAAAAGATTATATAGTAATTACCTCTTACGTGCCGCGTAAAAGTAAGTCAGTGATATTATTATCGTCTATGCACAACGAAAGTACAGATGACATGGATACTAAGAAACCACTGTTGATTTTAGATTACAATAAAACAAAAGGAGAAGTTGATACTGTAGATAAATTATGTTCATCATACAGTGTTTCACGAATTACTAAAAGATTGCCGTGTGTTAATTTCTATAATTTAATGAATATTGGAGGCAAAAATACTTTTGTTCTACATTTCGCTACAAATTCTGGAAAATCACCCAAAAGGAGACATTTTCTTAAAACCTTGCAATGAACTTGATGAAAGAACACCTTCATACACGATCACAAATGAAAACACTTCCACGTGATATAACCGGGTTCCTGTCCAGGATGTTTCCGAAGCAACCAGTACCCCATTAACCCATTAACGGCCAAGCACAGAAATACTGCAATAATATATAATATATTTTATTAACTAGGGTGAAATAAACTTAAACATTCGTAAAAAAATTGTTTTACACTTTGATAATGACAGGTGTCACAACAAAAAAAATGGTTAGTTTTCGAACCTTTGGCGGAAGTGAGATATAAAAATTGAAATACACATTTTTCTTTTTTGTGAAAAGTCTCAAAACATTTAGAGTGTAAATGGACCTGGCATTTTTGACAAACAAAAACAGTATGGTTAGAACACTCCCTGCACCTTCTTCGCATTTTCTGCATGCTTTACTACTAAATGACCTATCTTATCTTTTCGGATTTCATCTGGTAAGCTATTTTTTGACGGTCTACCCATGTTTACTGTCAACGGTACAGTTGACTTTTCATCTTCCAGGCATTTAACAATTTCCAGGCATTTACAATGAAACTATCAATTACGTTTTTAAAAAGTGGCCACCACCATTTCTTTCCTCGTACAGCAATCCTGTAATTCGCTATGCCGTTGTCATGCAAGTCTACGCCGCCCATACATCTATTGTATACTTGGATAACATTTAGAATAAGTATATTTACTTCATTACGCTGCTTGCGATCGTACCTCTTTGCAAAGCCTATGGGACGGACCGGACAGTTATTGGAGATTACTGTTACGAGTGAGTTGTCATTCCATCTAACTACAGACACTTCAGCTTCTTTGTCAAAAACGAAGTCGAACGACCCTCTATCTTATAGAAATAATTTTAGATGTTTCCAGTGGACACTTTTCAATCCTGTTTTCTCGCACTGTGCCAGTTGCATAAATTCCCTTTTCTTTCAATATTGTGAACAGCTTATAAGATGAAAAGAAGTTGTCAAAAAATACCCTGTGGTTAGAGGATGTTTCTTCAACACTTAGTGATTTTAATACTACATCAGCACCCAACCACCATAGGGGATAAACTGGAATAGTATTCATATATATTCACATATATTCACTGGTATTCACATGTGAAAAATTAAACACCAGCCATACAAAGAACAGCAATTTATTCGGAGCGTATTATTACCAAAGATTACTAATCAAGGATCTGAAATTTTACCGGACATAACACCCAATTAGATTTGACGGTCAGTGGAAGTCCCCCGGCGGCGACTAAATAGTGGCAGATGTCTTGAAAGTGGTTGGCAAAAGATTATTATTATATAACTATTCACTATATGTCTTTAGGAAGCAGTAACACCAACTCAGTGGGGCAACGAAGAAACTATACTACTTCATAAAAAAGGCGATGCTACTGACCATAGAAACTACAGGCCCATACACGGACCGGTTTTATGAGGGTTTTGTGTATTTGCCAATTGGTTTTTGGTATCATCCTTCTTTTAACCTCTTAGCTGTCATTAGTTTCTGGTGAGCCTAGGTATGTAACACTTTTAACGCTTTCAATGTTATAATCTTCTTTAGATTCTGCACATCGATCATTTCTGTTGATTTGCTAATATTGATACATATTGTTTTCATTTTATTAATTTAAAGTTTACTAGTTTGTGCCACTCTTTCTATCTAATTAACTACTTTAAATGCTTATATGTCTCCTTTTCCGTCTTCCGTGGGCATATAATTTAATTTAAGTCATGCATTGTGTATGCATGACTTAAATTATTAAAACAATATTCAAGATATATTAAAAACAGAAACGCATTTCAAAGTAAAAAAATATACTTACGATTAAGGAAAAATAAAGCTTCTTCGGAATTGATGCCCAAAAGAATAGGCACTAAATTAAAATTGCCGTCTAGTACAGCACCATGCATGGGTGCGGTAACGAAGGCGTCATCGTTGTCTTTCATCTTCCAGAACTGGCTTATAATATAAAGCATCCATAAATCCCACAGTTCCACCAGGTGCAAACTGTTAGAAAATAAGTTGATCGTATTATAAATATGTAACTGTATATTGTTTTGAAGCTTGTTCTTGTGGCATTTTAAAATCATTAGTGTTTTAATGAAAATAAGCCACAATTGAAGGTTAAAACAAGTTTATTGACGTTTCAATTTCCACTTTGGAAATCCTACTCAAAATACAAACATTAGTAAATTAATATAAGGTTGAATGTTCGAATAATTAAACTTTGAGGGTATACAAGGCAACTATCGAACACGGTGATTAATTTAATATTGCCCAAGTACTTTTGATCAATAGATCATCTTCAGGGGCATCTGAAATAAGCCAAGAAACGTTTTTTTTATAAAAAAGAAAATTAATTCACTTGGATAAAAAACTCAGCTCGACTATTTGGACTTCATGCACTGAGCATTTCAATTAAAGTTCTTCCATTGACTGTGGATTCAACTGAACTACGTGGACTATAACCCATTTATATATTTTGTCTTAAATTTTGATTTTAACTTTAGTAATTTAACTGCATATTCAGATTTTTCTTTTTTACAGTACTGATAGGGTTTGGTGGACCATTTTATTGTAGTCAATCATCCACTGTCTATTATATTGTTAGTCTTTTCTCACATTCATACTTTATATCAACTTCAATTGCTCTCAAACTAACATCCTAATTATTATAGACAGGTTTGAGTGTGAGATTCGGATTATTCAATCTACATAAAAAAAAATATACTATATAATTTTATATTTCATCAGTTGATTTCCTATAGTGGTGTCAGTTGGACCTTTGGTCAATACTTAGTGTCATAGAATTTTAAAAAGTGCAGATCACATAACTGCCCTTCACAAGCTGTCATTTGTCACATGTCATCTCTATATTTCCGTCAGACCGGGAGCCCATTCTGTCTCCGGCTTCTATACAACATGTAGCTTCTCCTTAAAAATTTTAAAGTGTTTGTTTGTCTTAGTGTATTGTATTTTGTATTGTTATGTCCAAATTTTACATTTATGACATTCTACTATGTCGGATAGGCCACAACTGACGAAGTAAGTCTATAAACGTTTATCACATATAAAATTTTTTTCAACCATAAACTTGGAGTTTTTTATCCAAGTGAATTAATATTCCTTTTTATAAAAAAAACGTGTCTTGGCTTATTTCAGATGATCTATTGATCGAAAGTACTTGGGTAAGATTAAATTAATCACCGTGTTCGATAGTTGCCTTGTAAACGCTCAAAGATTAATAAATTAAACAAATTTTGTTTCCTCAAAAAAGTTTACAATTTATCTCATTATTATTGTCTATAATCGTGAAATTTTATCTCTGGGCCAGATAGAATACTTGTAAAAATTTTGAAGGAGGGAAGTGAAATTGTTCTCCAAGAATTGAAAAATTTTTTCACCGAATGTCTTCACAGAGGAGAAGTCATAGATGATTGGAATGAAAGTTTGACAATACTTCTCTTCAAAAAGGGAGAATGCTGTCCCAAATGTACAAACTATTAATGAGAGTAACAGGTTAACGTCGAAGCTCGATAGCTATCAATCGGTTGAGCAGGCAGGATTCCGAAAGGGTTACAGTATAGCGAATCATCTTCTTATAGTTAGAACGCTAATAGAGAAAGCCAATGAATATCAAATAAACTTATACACTGACTTCGTATATTATGAAAAAGCCTTCGATTCCATAGAACTTTAAGCAATAGAGAGAGCTATGAACAACTGCAGGATAGACTCCAGATACAGAATGCTGATACATAATATTTACAAGAAATCTACAATGAAAATACAAATAGATTCGAAAACTAAAGCTATACCAATCAACAAAGGAGTTCGCCAGGAAGATGTTATCTCACCAGAGATATTCACACTTGAACTGGAAGACATGTTTAAATACATTAACTGGGTAGATAAAGGAATAAATGTTAATGGAAGAAAACTGAGTAATTTAAGATGCGCTGGTGATTGATTTGGGGGAGGCCCATGTCCAAAGTTGGATTACTTAAAGCTAAAAAAGAAGAATAATCGTGAAATAAAATCAAAGAAATGCCAACTTCATTCCCATTTAGTCAAGGAAGCTCAAACTTAACAGTTTTATTTACTATCTGTAATGGAGATTAATCACCACTATTATATTAACGCTTTGATTTTCAAAACTTACAAGTAGAAATCGACCTCAAAATAAACGTATATATTTAACTAAAATTGTGGCTAATTTCCGTAAAAAAGCTAGTATATAGCTAGACTGTTCCGTATTTACCTTATTCTGAACATCAAGTAAATCTGAGTAAGATGCTTGTTGCAACAGTTCTAATAAATCACTTGATTTGGTTGATGTAAATGAACTATTTAAAGTTTTACCAAATTCAAATGCCAGTTCTCTGTCGTTAGATGGATAGAAAAATCGAGCTAAGGGTGACCCACTTTGTTGGATAATCCCACTAAATAACCCTAAAAACAGAAAAAGTGTGTAGTTAAATATATGTTGATATAAGGTTGAATAAATGAACTTTGATTAAATAAAAGGCAAATATCGAGTACAGTTTAATTAATTTAATCTTGCCCAAGTACTTTTCTTCCCTAGAGCGAAAGAGCTCCCTAGAGCTGAAGATACTCTAGGGAGCGAAAGTACTTGGGCAAGATTAAATTAATTAAACTGTACTTGATATCTGCCTTTTATTTGATCAACGTTTAAATATATGTAACTAACTTTATTCATCTCTTTACTTATGCGGATGAGACTATTGCATGTTTGACACAATCATTTTTATTGCGAAATGTCGAAACAGTTCGATTGACTATATGATTATAATAGTATGTATACAGGGTGTTCCATAATTAATTGGACATTAGCTAATGGGTGATAACTGACATCAAAATAAAACGTTCGTGTTCAAATCTACAGGGTGATTCATTATATTTTTTTATATTATTTTTAGGGATATATTGAAAACTATTCAACCGATTTAAGTAAAATTTGGTATCTTGCTATTATTTAGTATGCTTAATAAGAAAATGATATTCGTTTTACCATTGACACTAGGTTGCGCCACCTACTGTAACATTGGTTCATTAATGGGGCTATAATTTTTTTGTCCGCCCTGTATAAACATTCTAGGAAAAAAAACATGAAATAACATTCAATTGTACACAAAAAAGGTATTCTTGTTTCAAATCAAATTTTGTAATCAAAATCATTTTTTATAAACCACTTAAGATAAAGGAAAAATGCCACGTCATAGTGAATTTTATAATGTAGAAATGCGCGATATGATCTGTTTGTAGCCCAGGAAAATTTTTGTTCTCGTAAAGCAGCTGAACTTTATTTCAATTTTTATCCCAATAGAAGCCAACCAAACCTTAAAACTATTAGATCATTGTTCGACAGATTAGGCGAAACAGGGTCATTTCATCCCAAAAACAGGAATGCTGAAAGACCGAGAGTAATTGATGCGGATATGGAAGATGAAATTGTTGTGCGTGTTGCAAAAGATCCAAAAACCAGTATAAGGCTTGTTTCTGCTGCCACTGGTATAAGCAAATCTACGGTGTCAAGAATAATACAGATAGAAAATCTGTATCCGTATCGTTTTACTCCAGTACAGAATCTTTTACCACAATATTTTCCAGCAAGGCTCCGATTTAGTCAGTTTGTGATGGGGCGGCATTTAGACGATCCAATGTATTATAATAAAATTTTATTTACTGATGAAGCCACATTTACTAGAAGGGGTGTATTTAACTGGCGCAATTGCCATACCTACGCGACAGACAATCCTCATGCAATTCAAGAACATCATTTTCAACACAAGTTTTCCATAAATATCTGGTGTGGCATATTTGGGGATTGTATTGTAGGACCATTCGAATTAACCAACTAGGCTTGACGGAGTAACGTATCTAAATTTTTTGAGAAAAGATTTACCAATTCTTTTAGAAGACGTACCTCTAAATTTGGGACGGAACTCGTGGTACATGCATGATGGTGCACCACCACATTATAGCCTAGAAGTTAGAAATTATCTAGATGAAATTTATCCTCAAAGGTGGATTGGTTAGAGGTAGTGTATAACCATGGCCAGCACGCAGTCTCGAAATAAATCCCCTAGACTTTTACTTGTGGGGCTACCTAAATAAAATAAAACTTGTTTATATAAAAAAAATAAATAACCGTCAAGAGTTATGGCAAAATATTGTAGAGGGAGGGACGTAATTAGGGCCCAAAGAAACTCATTATTTAAAATAAGACAAAACTTACACAAAAGATTTAGATTATGTAGTTTTTCTAATGGTGCCCATTTTGAACACTTACTGTAATTTTTTTTCGTTTTGTTTTGAATTATTCACTTTGTTAATTGTTTTATATTCACTTCATTGTTTAATTTAATTTCTGATTTTTTTTAAATTTGTTACTGAATCAAAGGTTTTAATAAAAATAATTGTTCCAATCATATGCATTTTGTTTGCAAAAATTATCTACTACTAATCCATTTAATATTCACTTTTATTTAAGACCTTTTGAATAATTTTTGGAATTTACATAAGTTTTTGTAAAATTTTTTTAATTTATGCACGTCTCTAAAAAATACGTTTATTTCGAAAACAGTGTACTTTTTTGATTTGAGACAAGAATACCTTGTTTGTGTAGAATTGAATTTTATTTCATGTTTTTTTCCTAGAATGTTTATACAGGGCGGGAAAAAAATTATAGCCCCATTAATGAACCAATGTTATAGTAGGTGGCGCCACCTAGTGTCATCGGTAAAACTAATATCATTTTCATATTAAGCATACTAAATAATAGTAAGATACCAAATTTTACTTAAATCGGTTGAATAGTTTTCAATATATCCCTAAAAATAATATAAAAAAATATTAATGAATCACCCTGTAGAACAAAAACTAGCAACATTTTGCCTAAGCAATTTGAGCTCAAACGCTTTATTTTAATGTCAACTATCACCCATTAGCTAATGTCCAATTAATTATGGGACACCCTGTATATATTACAGGATCCAACTTGTAAATACAATGCATTTTAGAGACGGCTATTGCCGTATTCCCGTTCTCCTCCGCCAATCCTCCCGGTCCAAGGCATGATCCTCCTCCAAACTTCTCGATTCTATCGCTCTTCTAATTCCTTTATTACATGATCGTCGAGGTCTACCTCTTTTTCTTCTTCCAGAAAGCTCTCACTTGTGAAGTTTTTGGGGCCAACATTCGGGCCAACATTATCAAATGCGCCTAAAGCATTTTGAACCTTTTCTTTCTATTCTGTCTATAGTTTTATAGATTTGTTGGTCTTCCTTTCCTGCCTTGATGTTCTAGCACTTCTTCTCAAATGATCTATTTCAACATAACAAGAACTGATTTAACCATGGTTTGCTCTATTCTTTTTTTGTTTCTTTTGGAAATATTGCAATCCCACCATAAGGAGTTCAGACATCCTACATTTTACATCCCTGATTAATTCGGTGTTTAATTTCGGTTTCTCTCAAGCCGTTCTTATCAATGAGTGTACCTAAATATTCAAATTATTTCACTTGTTTGATTTCCACGTCCTCGTCTATCAACACTTCAAACCTGCTGCCTCAATACATAAATTAAACAGTAAGGGTGACAACTGCATCCTTGTTTTAGTCCCTAGTTTTATTTTATTGGCTCTGATAGTCTATTTAAGATTTTAGGTAAGTAGTGTTATCCCTATATACTTTTGTGATTATCCTAAAAGTAATGGACTACAATGTCGAGTTTGTTGTAAAGCTTACTACAATTTAAGTCTTGGAACTGTAGCATACGTCTTTTCTAGGTCGATGAAAGCCTAAGATGTACTTCGGTACCGACGCTATTCTTTTTTCTATTAATTGTTGGAGTATAAACAAGATATCAGTGCAAGATCAAAGATCAAAAATTCAAACGTCAATAAACTTATTTTAACCTTCAATTGAGGCTTATTTCCATTAAAATAGTAATTAGATCTTATCTCTGTCGTTCGCCCGGTTGGTGTTTCTCTTCTTCTATTTTTTAATGACTGCTCGGATGTAATTATGAACACTATTTCATCCCTCCGTACTTCCCATCATCTTCACGATCATCTCTCTTACAGTCACAGGGTTCATACCTATTTCTTTATACATTCTGATTCTCTTCACTGTACATCTATTACACTCCAGCATTATGTGAATAACAACGTCGGAATATTCGCAGTATAGGCATTTATCTGTATCTGCCTTTCTGAACCTATGAAGATACGCGCTAAAACAGACAATCTACCCAGTCCCTTAGGCTCGGGATCAGCATCTTGCTCCACTGGGCAACATCTTATTTTTTCTTGCCATTTTTTTCATTAATCTTTCCCTTTCTTCTTTTATTTATAGCTGTTATCAAATGCCCTCTTCTCTCATAGACACGTTTTTTTTTCTACTGCTAACACATGCAGAGAAACACAACCCCTGATAGTCCACAAGGCCGCCGAAAATACAGTCCTGTAGGCGCCTGTTACTCGCAACAGACTCGTTCTGTCTACTTTCATCTGAATCCGTCTGTCTCTTTAATTGTTTTATTGGTTGCCTAATTTAAAGCTTACCTGTAAAAAGAACAAACCTGGACTCACAATAATCAGACGTTACGTTCTTATCAGTGTATTATTTACTAACCTGAAATAAGGTTCAATAATTATTTCCGTTATTTTATTTTACCTGTTTACCCCTTTGAGGCATTCTGCACTTGCTGAACATACAGCAAGAAACGCTAGATGAAAAAAAAAAAAAACAAAAACAAATACATTTGATAATTAATATTTATCCAGCATTACATACCTTTAGCTGCTCTACTTAACAATTGGAATCCAGTGGACATACTTCCAGCACTTTCTCCTCCTACTGTTATTTGCTTGGGATCCCCTCCAAATTTATGAATGTGTTCGTGTACCCACTTAAGGGCCAAAAGTTGATCCTTAAGTCCCAAATTACCGGGTATACTGTCATCTAGTGTCGTTAAAAATCCTGGAAGAAGAAAAAATAAAGATTGGTAATATTTTTCACGCTATCAAAAAAGTAACAGGATTAAAAGATGCTTCCTTCATTTGTTGAGTACATTTTGATGTTTGAGAGTAAGTGGATTTATAAATCACTCTCAAGAATAAAATAATAAAAATGTTACAAAGGTGCAATTTAATGATAATACGCAGAAATTGAAATCGGGAGAGGAGTTAGGCAGGGATGTATTATGTCCCCATTACTTTTAAAGAAGCATTACTATCTCAAATTAAAGGAATAATAATTAATGAAAGATCTATTAACAACATAAGATATGCAGATGACACCGTGATTATGGCAAGCTCTACTGAACAACTCCAATTACTGCTAAACAAAACAAACAGTTTTTGTAAAAAATATGGACTAAAAATGAATATAAAAAAGACCAAATACACGATAATAACAAAGAAAACAAATATACCATTTGGGAAATGTACCAATAGAAAGGGTTGATAAATACAAATACTTAGGAACCTGGATTTCAGACAATAATGATCAAACAACCGAAATAAGAGCCAGGATAGAAATAGCAAGAAATGCGTTGTAAAACTGAAAACAATTCTCTGCAACAAAGACTTTAGATTAAACTAGAGTAAGAGCACTGAGATTCTACGTGTTTTCGATACGCAATATGGACTTGAAAGCTAGACATTGAAGCAAGAACACATAAATAAGTGACGTCATTTAAAATGTGGTGTTACTAGAGGATGCTTAGAATAGCATAGACACAAAAGAAAACTAAACGGAAGTATTGCGAGAAATGGGCAAAGAATGCGAAATAATAAACACAATAAAAATAAGAAGGTTGTAATATCTGGACACGTAATGAGGGGACAGCGATACGAACTGCTAAGGCTAATAATACAGGGAAAGATAAGAGGAGAAGGAGTATAGGAAGAAGGAGAGTGTCATGTTTGAAGAATTTAAGGGACTGGTTTAAATGCAGTTCTATAGAACTCTTCAGAGCAGCAGTAGATAAAGTAAAGATAGTGATGATGATATCCAACCTCCGATTGAAAGACGGCATTTAAAGAAGAAGAAACATAGTTTACATTTTTTTATTTGGCAATCTTTCAAATCTATTTCTTGAATGTTATTGTTCATTCAGCTTTTAATAATGACTGAAATTAAAACACTTACCAAATGCTCCCAGTCGATAGTTTATTGTTACTATTACTATATCGTAATCAATCAAATACTTCGGATCAAAAGAGTCCATTGAACCACTACCAACAAGAAAAGCTCCACCATGAATCCAAAAGTATATTGGTAATGATTTACCGGAACTGGGTTTCTACAAAACAAGTATTTTTATTATCATTTTCCTTTTTTAACAAAACGCTACCTAATAGATTTAATAATAAAATTGAGAATAAGGAGATATAATGCTAATCAATTGAGATCAAAGAAAAAATTAAGAAATATAATATACACGTTCATATACTGAGTGAGTTTTATATATGAAACGCTTCAAATATCACAGAAACAGCTTGCACGACTTATGTAAGGGTCTTTCATTATGGTAAACTGTGCTAAAATACCGGTCAGTGGGTAATGCCTGATAATCATCCCGATCGTGCGAAATCATTCAATCTGGCAACCTCTTATACTGTCAACTTGTCGCTACACTACTCTGTATTCATATTGCCGACGAGCGTTGAGTTGGCGCATACCATTGTCATAGCAATATTATTATCCTGTTTTCAGTGTTTTCGATCTTATTTTTGTGGTGAGCAATATAAGGTCTTAATTCATTTTTATTCACTTGTAGATCTTAAAGTAGATTACAATTGGTTATATTGATGTTAGCTGCCTATTCCTTTTTTAAAGATCAATAATTTAATACATGCTTACGATTTAAAAATTTTAAGAAAAAAAAATGTCAACAGGAGGCAATGTCAGTCAGTTGACCGGTATTACCCCCATGCTAACTTATATTAATTACTTATATTTCAATTTTTTTTTACGTAGATTTCACAGTACATAATTACAATACTTCAATATAGGCACATATATATTATATATATTTCAAACCTTATTCAGATGACAAGGAATCGAAAAAGAACGACTTGTAAAACAAAATAGAATTAACAGGATTTAGAAAAAGATATTTTAGCTTATCGAAATGGTGAAATGACTATGTAAAAAGCAGAAAAAGCATGTGCTATCCCTTTTTCGACATTGCAAGAAAGAATAAAAAATAAAAATCTTTAAGGTGCGTCATTAGGTAGAAAATCAGTATTTTCTGCCGAACAAGAAGCTGAAATAGCCACACAAATAAAGTATTTAGCTTCTATTTTTTATGGCGTAACAGCAAAAGAACTGAGAAAATTAGCATTTGAGTTTGCTGAAAGAAACAGTAAATATTAAACATAATTTTAACGTCTGCTTGGGATTAGCTGATGTCGAGTGGTTACGAAGTTTTCTTAGAAATTCAACAGTATTCATACCCATAGCAGAAGGCACGAGTCTAAACAGATCAACAGCTTTTAATAAAGAATAAGTGGACCTGTTTTTAAGCTATTAGAAAGTTTAATGACAAAATATCAATTTGGTCCAACACAAATGAGGAGGTGTCGATCAAAATCAATCATGTCCACCTTAAGAAGTTTTAGGGAAATCGCAAAAAACGTATTAGTAAATAACCTTACATGAAAAATCGGATAAATTAGCATATATCATTTTATTTATTGAAATTAACTGACTCTTAGTAAATATTTCAAATCTGAAGGTATAAATAAACCTGTAAATACATTTTAAAAAAAGGACATGTTCTTATTTGATTGGACTTCATGGACGTTGATAGAAGGGGTTGATAAAAAAACTCTTAGACTACTTAAAATATCTATTGTATTGTTACAAAAAATATCTTGAAAAATGGCTAACATTTACCAACGACACTTTCCACAAAATATAAATGTTTAAATGTGTAGTCCAATGTCAGGTTCTAGACAATCACAGGATTCGTCCACTTCGTCAGCATCAATTTCGTCGTCCTGGACTTCCACTATTATGGTCTTATACCAAGATAAAAAGTCATGTTTCTGCCAGTCATCACCATACATTTTCACAAGTAACGTCTCCACGTCCTTCTTCTTAGCTGCTTTCACTATATTGCTCAGTGGAAGTGACTCTACAGGAGTTGAGAACGACCTTGCAGAATGCCAGCCTTTTTTTGAGGCTTGTTGTAGGTTTCAAAATCACTTTCAAACCTAAAATTCTGTGCCGATTTCACTTTGATAACAGTAAGTTCTTGTCCATTGCGGTTGACAGCTTTCTCTTTCCTCACAAAAATCCTCTTCTTTTCAGATATCATTTCAATGTTTTTAAATCGTGTAGCCAAACTTTTAGCATCAATCAATCCCCAATCCTCTCCAAGTTTCCGTACTTCTCCAACAGAACTATATACATTGTAGTACTCTTCCTTTGTTGCAATGGTAGGCTGCTTCCTGAGTAACTTTTCAACCCTTCCGAACACCCGATCAGCGGGGAGGAAGCTATGCCCGCGAACAGGGTATGTTAGAACAATCTCCTCTAAAGCATTTTGCACTGATCCTAAGTAATACACTAATGTGTGAACAACGGCATTGTTTTTGTTTTGACCGGCACACCCATCACAGAACAGATTCAGTCTTGTTACATTTGAAAAATTAGCGGAGTTCAAGAAATTTATAAGTGCAGATGAAACTTCGGTCGCACCCCTTCCTGCAAGTTCTTCAGTCCATACGTAAAATATGGGGTTTTGTGCGTTTGATGCTACAATGCAAAAAGAGTAAAAACTTAATTGTCTTTTGTAGAACGCGTCTTGAATAGGAGTTTTGGGAAGTGCTTGAATTTGCTGGAGATCAAAACAGAAAGTAACCTCATTTTCTTTGTTTTCCTTTAAGAGCCCATAAAAAGCATTAGCTCTTAATCTGTGTATTCTTTTCTCCATCATAAATTGGTTGACCACTACCAAGTCTTTCACAGCTTTAGCCTTCTCAATTTTCAGCTGAAGATCTATTTTATTGCATGTACTGCAAACGTCAGAAGCTGGTGATGAAAATCCGATATTTAATTCATTGAAAACTCTCCTAAACATAGATTTCTTAACTTTAAGATTATCAAGTACAGAATCATTGTATATTAGCCACAACTTCTTAATGTTTAAGTCTGCACCAAGATAAATCCTTTTCGATTTTTTTCGATTATAGTGGCTTTCTTTTCCTCTTAAATTTCTCAAAAAAAGGCGGACTGATTCCTTGTTCGCAGCAGATTTGTGACTCTTCCTATCGCCACCCCTCTGATCCTTAACAGCCTTTCCCTCTTTCACCTTTTTAGAAATATTAGTCAATCTTGTTCCCTTCACCATGGTAATATGCATGAAAAGTTTCCTACACACAGGTATAACTTTACCGGTTGATGAAAGTATAGAATATTGTACACTAAAACTTTTAGCCTTTGATTTTTCAGAGGTAGGCCTAGGCCTTCGCCGCTTTATGTTACGTTGATTTATCCAACTGGCAATGGTGTTATCTTGCGTGTTTTTGTCAGGTATTTTGTAGAGGATATTTCGAACAAAAATAGCATCTATAGGCCTAACTAATGCACATTTCATACCTTTGTTCATGTGTTTACATGGAACAAACACACGACATCCCACTGGAGTACTGTATCGCTTAAGCTTGGCTCTAGTTTTTTTATCCACAGTCTTTTTATTTTTACGAGATCCTTCATTGGCATCGCCCACTCTCACTAAGTTTTCTTCATCCATGGAAAATTTCAATTTTATTTAATAAAAACTACTATAATAATATTAAAATTAAACCACAGTGCAATACAAACTCAATACTCGCTATCGACATAACCTAGAGGGAAAACACAGACAATGTGTTGACATGGTCAAATCACGTGACCAAATCGGGGCACTCCTATTAGCTGAATGGACATGTGGTGGTATGATTGAAACCAACTGTGGACATGATTTCATTTGATTTGGGAACCTAATATTGTGTATTCATTTTAAACAGGACATGATTTTTTTTAACCGAAACCGAAAACACCATAGAATAGGATTCACTCTTTATATTATGAAACAGCTGCTAACTCATTTTTTGATTTTTATGGACATGATTGATTTTGATTGACACCTCCTCAAATATACAATGCCGATGAGAAGGAAATTAGTACAGTTCAGGATACCGGAAAAAAAAAGGCCAGAAAAGGGTGGGCTTTGCAACCAGTGGAGAAAGGGGCATAAACATCAGAGTTATGTGTGCCATGAATGCCGCTGGGGGATACGTTCCACCCATATTTATTTTTTCCGCGAAAACGACTGACACCTCTTTTGGAAAAAGATGCACCTCCGGAGGCATTACATAAATGTTCAAATATTGGTTGGATTGATGAAGGTTTATTTTATGAATGGTTGCAACACTCCACAAATACCAAAACCCTAGTGAAACCTCACCAGTTCTTCTAATTACAGATAACCATTCCAGCCACATACCAATAAAAGTTTATGAATATTGCAAAGCAAATAATATTTCTATATATTCAGTATAGTCTTTGATATTGTTTTTTATGGTCTCTTAAAGCTAATATCGAAATGATTGTAATTTGTTCATGAAAACACATTTTATGCGATTTTATATCACGCATGGTGACAATACCGGTCAAAGATACTTTTTTATTTTTTGTCTCTGTTAAAGACAAAAATTTTTGATTTTTTAAATTAAATGTGTCTTGCAATAAGTTAAAACCCCAAATCGGCTGGTTAACGCCTTAAATTTGATTCACAGAGTTTTAATTTTTTTATATTAAATTTTCTTCTTAGGTGACCGCGATTTGCACATTTTACCTACGGTCTTAATATCTGAAAATCGAATGAACTTATTTATTTCAAATAAAACGATATTAGAAAGATATCCAAATCGACCAAATGCAACTGGTGATATTGTAAGAAAGTTGCTTAAAAACTGCGTAAGTTTGGCCAAAAAAGAGAAAAATTAATCAAAATTAGCCACTCGTGGACAATGACATAAACGAAATTAATGTGTTAAGCATCTTACGCTCTCTTAAAATACCTTTATTAGAGATTGTGAGAGAGATCTTACCTTGTCGACGAGAGCAATTCATTCATTCAAAAAAGTGCATTAGATTTCCAAAAAAATTGAAAATCTGACAACAATGTAAATACCACCATAATATTGGCTGCATCCAATGACGTATAATATATAGACTAAGCAGTCCTCCTATTCTCGCTATATAATCGGGTGTCCGAAAGATCTCCGCTCAAGGTTGAAGGTATGTTTACCAGAACAGCGGCGTGCTCATTTATATGTTAATGACAATAATTATTTTTTTAATTAAAATTAAATATTTATGATTTCTTTTTGTTCCCGTCTATAAGAGAAATAATTATTTTGATAAAATAGTATGGCATTTTACTAAAATAGTAAGTAAATAACTCTCAACAATTTAAAATAAAATTTGCTTGTCACATAAAATATGTAAACACACAAAATGGCGAAAATGTTTTCATACGTCCATGATGTTTTCAAACACAAGATCAACTTCGTGATGCTTCGTAAGAAATCATGAAATTCGTGCATCTTCGTATCAAAACAATAAACAATAACAAAGGTATTTATGTTGTGGACACTTTTTAAAGCGTTCACCGGGTCTATATATTATACGTCATTGGCTGCATCACAAGACCCTTACCACAGATTAACGGTGATTTTGTGCCCTTACAGACTTCCATACTTAAATTTTACTCTGTAGAGACAAAAAATGGCTTATTGTAAAAAATTTTTTTAATACGAAAAAATAAACTTACTACTGGTGTATACACATTCAGAACCAAGCAGTCCTCAGTTAGATCTGAGTCAGATTTCAAATAATTATTCATAAACGATGCTTGTGGACACATCTTCTTATTTTCGGTGGCGTTTAATACTCCTTCCCATGGACCACGAGGGTTTGAGGGCTGAAACCAAAAATATGTTATAATTTTATTTATCAAATGGTAATATTTATGAATTAATTTATTTGAATATTTAATAATTTAAACTCCGCCTCCGGTAAGTGCTGGGTGGATTGATAGCTCAGTAAATGCCGGTGCCGGTCCCTAACCCGGATAAAGGGAGGAGGGTTGAGGCGATGGGCTAGCACCTCATCCCTTGTCAAAACAAATAAATGCTAAAGATTTCGACCAAAAGCCTCGGAATACAAAGGATGGATCCAAACAAAGACGACTAATGCAACAGAAAAGGAACATGATATTGGCTACATGGAATGTACAAGGACTTAGATCCAAACAAGCTGAAGTATTCAAAGAATTAGCGGAAACAAAAATAGATATATGTTTTCTTACCGAGACGAAGAAAAAGGGAAAACGAAATAAAGAGATAGGAGAATATATACACATCTACAGTGGAGTAAGTAAAGATAACAGAGCTAAGAGAGGAGTCTCTATTGCCATTCGAAAAAAATCTTAAAAACAATATTAAATCGTGGACTAAAGTAAATAAACAACTGCTAATACTGGAAATAAAAAAGAATGGGCACAACATCGTAATTGTCGGAGTGTATGCCCCAAATGAAGATGCAGATCCAGAAAGTAAAGACGATTTCTACAACAAGATGAATGAAATACTCTCTGAAATTAAAAAAAACTGTGAAATCTTTATACTAGGAGATTTAAACGGCAGAGTAGGGAGAGAAGAAAATAACAGAGTCGTAGGAAGATATGGAGAACAAATAACCAATGACAACGGAATGCGTGTTGGAGATTTTTGTGAAACAATGTCTCTCGAAATTTTAAATGGATTTTTTTCGACATAGATACATCCACAACTTTGCTTGGATACCTACAACCTATTAGGAATGTGCGCTCGATAATCGACTAATCCAATGTCAAACTTCCCAGCTGCAAACAACTGACGTAAGGGTATACCGAGGATCAGAATGTGGATCCGACAATCGTTTAGTTATGGCTAACGTGCTAGTTAACTATTGCAAAAACAATAACACTCATGTACAGAATATAGAAAAGGGACAAGCAGTAACATCCCCTAAATATAACCTAAGAAGCTTAAAAGAAGAGTCAACCAAATTTCTTTATAAATTACGACTGGCCACAAAGCTACAAAATGTGGATCGAGAAAATATATCAGCGGAAGAATTATACCAGCAACTTAAAAAATGCATTCATGAGGCGGCAAGTGAAGCTTTGGGTTTTAAAGACAAACATAAAACAAAAAATCAAGACCTTTATTTTGAATGTGAAGAATTTTAAATTTGTCATTAAAAGAATGATTGTAATCTAAAGGTAAAGTGCGTAGGTAGAATCTGTTTTTCTATTATTGAAAGCCCTTTCATGTTCTGCTATTCGTTTATTAAAAGTTTTTAACCAGTTTGACCGATGTAAGTTTTTGGGCAGTCGCCACATTTAAGTTGTGTAAATGTTTTTTATTTTAGCTCTTTGTTTTTGATATATTTGCCTAGGTTCTTATTTGTTCAGAAAGCTGGTGTTAATTCTTTCTTTTTTATGAGTTTGGCTATTTTTATTGATATTTTGCCTGTATATGTAATCGAGTAGAAGGTACTGGGTTTTTTCTCTGGTGGTGAAGGTCAGCTACAATAATTTTATTAATTTCCAGTAAATTATGAAAATTTACAGCTTAAGAAAGAGAATTAAACAAGAATTAGCCCTCTACCATTTTTTTTTGGCAATCCTATAAGCATTCAAAGTTCAAGGTCATGGTAATAAACTAATTAACGTATCTCAGCAACAAACTAAATGATCTAGGCGTACTACGGCTCATTCGATTCGTAATTTTATAGGCTTGAATGTCGTATATTTAAAATAAAGTAAAAAAACAATTTTTTGCAATAACAAATAAATTAAATTAACGTATACCGGCTCAAATTTAAGGTCTTTAGAGTACTTTCATAATCTATACAGAAATTACCCATTACAACACTTACTTTAGGCAAAAAATGAAAATAACTCAAAAAATACACATTTTGCACCTATCTTCTTCTTCTTACGGTGCCTATCCATTCTGGATATTGGCGATCAACATGGCTATCCTAACTTTGCTTGCTGCTTTTCTGAATAGTCCCCGTTGTCGATGTATTAAACCACTTTCTCAGGTTTCGAAGCCAAGATATCCATATATGGCCAAGATATTCTAGTTTGCGCTCTTTGATGGTGTTAATAATCTCTCGGATTTCTTGCCTATTCTACGTGGGACCCTCAACATTATCACACGATCCACCCATGAAATTCTTAAGATACGTCTGTAACACCACATCTCGAATGCCTCGAGTTTTCTTAAGGAAGCTTCGAAAAGTGTCCTTTGTACCTATAAACGCTCATAAATAAACAATACCCAAAAATTTTTTGTGAATAAACTGGGGATTGCTCCTGAGGTTGCCCTCTATAACCTAGGCCACATTACATAAATTCCTGGATTAGAGAGTACTTCTTCCCCTACAGCCTGGGCTATTGTTGTTCTTTAGAACGCGTTCGTCACATAATATTGCTTACAAAAATATGCACCTCCTGAAAGGAAATTCATAAGCACGCCAAAAAGTTTTTGAAGATATTTTTTTTTCTACCTAAGACACTACCTAATTTACGTCGTAAAATTATTTTAAAATAAATCCCAAATTTTTTTTCTTTATGTTATAGTAGAACTTTTACGATCTTTTATTATCTTTTTGTTTGTTTGTGTATTTTAAATTGTAACAACTATGACAATGACCATGTTGTAGAGACACACTAAATCTAAATTTAAAAAAATATATCCATAATATTGCATATTATTGAAAGCCAAGTATTTTATCGATATCCGTGACTGTTTATAAATTGTAAACGTTTATTATTAATTATCTCCACAAGTTATCAATCTACTCGTGTCAAGTCAAATGTATCAGATCAATTAAAAAAACTAAAATGCATAATCAGAACATTCCTATCGAGCGATATCGTAAGTTCTTTCATATTGTATTTTAGTTTTCAAGGTTTAAAGTAAATCATTTTAGGATATCCTATAAAAATAATAATCTTTTTATCTTTATGCTTTTAGTTTACACATAACTGATAAACTGATATATATTTTTCAAATTTTAATATAAATTTTGTTTTTGTATTTGTAGGTCTCTTGCTGCTCTTGTTTCCTTAGGTAAATGGTAAGAAAGCTATACTTTCCGTATAAGAAAATATCATCTTAGATACTCGTACTTTTCTTCTTTTTCTAAATTCATGAAAGGTGAATACATCTAATCCCTGTGTACATATTTTATAAGCTCGTTGTGGATCCGTGTTTCTTTATTGAGAGGTCTCCATGTGTTGACCTAGAGCTGAAATTGAATCGTCTGCACAAGGTGTTTCATAAACTCGTTGTTGTTTATTTGTAATGTTGTCTTTGATTAATCGGTCAAGAGATGAAACTTTTTGTTGGGGGTAAATATTGTTTTTATTCCTCTTGATTTAAGAATTTTGTCGAATTTGTCAGTGACACTTTTGATGTAAGGAAGAAAAGTAGGAATAAAAGCTTTCGTATGATGAGAGTCTGAGTCTTTGGATTGAGATTGAGTGACAGATTGATGTCTGTGGATAGTCCCTCTTGATGTGATTTTTGCGGTAACCGTTTTGGATAAGGGCTTGTTTTAAAGAAGAGAGCTCAGCGTGTCTACTTGCACCATCGCAGAGTCGTAGTTATCTGGAGACAAGCGTATTAATCACTGAATGGTGTTGTAAAGTGAGTCATGAGAGTTGGCATGCAAGTAACAATTGGTATGTGTGGGTTTTCGATAAACAGAGTAATGAAAACCTTGGTATTGGTTTTTCTTTATGATAACGACAGGAAACGGTAGGGATGAATCAGTTTCCATCTCCATCGTGAACTGGATACTAGGATAGTGTACCATTTTAGGTGGTTTAAAAAGACACCAAAGCATCCCTGCCAGGGACCAAATGACGAATGTGTCGTCAACGTATTGTAGCCAATATGTAGTTTTGAGCATTGATGTGGATAATTTCTCGGATCTTGAAGTCTTCCATAAAGATATTGGCAATTACTGGAGATAGAGGGAAGCCCATTAGGGCACCATTTATTTGTATGTAGAATTTATTTTGCAAGATGAAATAGGTGTTGCATATACAATGTTTAATGACAGATAACGTGGTCTTGTTGGATACTGTATTTAGTTTTCAGAATGTTTAGAACTTCTTGTATAGGAATATTTGTAAAGAGTGAAACAATATCGAAACTTAGTAGAATGTCAGACGGTGATATAGGGTATTGTTTAAGAAATTCGATGAAATGAAAAGAGTTTTTGACGAAGGATGATGCAATTTTATCGAAGCTTTGTAGGATTTTGGCCAAATACTTGGTTGTGGTCGTGTAGGGCAGTTTTATACACTGATAATGGGACGTAGAGGAATATCGGGTTTGTGAATTTTGGGTATACCATATATAAGTGTGGCCAGAAGAGTAGAAAATATTGACAAACATCATAAGAAAAAGCTGAATCAATACACGGAAAAGATTTTGGACGAATATCAGGCAGAATTCAGAAGTAATAGGTCGACGACAGACCAAATATTTGCGTTAAAAGAAATCCAGGCTATCAACGACTCTTTTACGTAATATGTAATACTGGAAGGAATAATTGGAAAAAGTAAAATAAACACACAGGAAACAATTTTTAAAAATGGCCATCAATGTATAGCATTCGCAGATGATCTAACACCATAACAACAAGTAAGAAAGAGCTAAAAAAGTTAATGAGCAATATAATAAAAAAGCAAAAATTGTTGGTCTTCTCATAAATAAGGAAAAGACAAAATACGTGATAATGTCAGAAAAGAGATAAAGAAAAAGAAGACAATTTCACATTGGAGGTAGAAAATGAAGATGCATGCGCGTGTAAAAGAGTTTCAGAATTTACTTACGTGGGTGTAAAATAGATGAAAAGAATAGCAAAAACAAACAAAAGTATAGAACATTGCGTCCATTAATGAAATCCAAATATGTCTTAAGAAAAACAAAATAAGGATCTACAAATCAGTTATCAGGTCTACAGTACATATGCATGTGAAACATGCTTAAAAAATCAGAAATAGACCTTTTAGAAAGATGGAAGAGAAAAATACAACGAGACAATATATGGAGGCGTGAAAATAGATGGACAATGGAGAAAAAGAAATAGTAGGGAACTTAAAGAACCATATAATAACCAAAATAAACGACGTGCACAGAGAATATGATACTTAGGACACATCGAAAGAATGGAAAAGGCGAGAATGTCAAAAATGGTTTTATTACGTAAACCAATACAAAAAAGAAGAATCGGAAGACCCAAGAAGGAGATGGAAGACTGCGTAGATAAAGACTTAAATAAAAAGTAATATTGTAAACTGGAAAGAGCTTTGGACAGAAAACAATGGAAGGAAGTGTGAAGATTTCTATTAAGGGTTATAAGGAATATTAAGTGTAGTATTAAGTGTCTTAATAAAATAAATGTAAAATTGTATATATTATAGTAGTATATGATATAGCATTATATATAATATGTAATAGTTAGACTTCGGCAAATATGCATATTGCATATTTTGCATATTGTGCATATTTTATGCAAATATTTCATATATTTTGGCATATTTGTATAAAAGTTTGCATAAAGTGCATAAAAGATCAATTTTTATACTGTATTTGAAAATTTTTAAACATACCAATTTATTTCAATTCTTGTATAAAATTTTGTAGTCATTTTAATTAAGAAATGATCTAAGTAATGTAATCTCTACAGGTACAAAACAGTTACAATTTCAAAGAAGATCAATTTAAAGTAGCCCTCAACATTCTTAGAAAGTCTCGGTCACTGAGGCATTCAGTTATTGGATAAATCGCTAAGGGTTCGCTCATTTGCATTTTATGATCTAATCCCCAAATCTATCTACAATTTATTGTATCTTAACAGCAGGTATAACGCTAATAGTTTTGTTCCTAATTTAGTGGATTTCCAAAATCCTCCCAGTTTATTGAATTAGGTACCTAAACATTTCTAATTTGATGCTCAGATTTGTAAATCATTTTTGTTTTGATATTCAAAAGATGTAAACACTCATTGTGCATAACAAAAAGGAGGATTGTGATTTATTAAATGCCTAAAACAACCAGTGCTTCAGCTTGGATTAAACCTAATAAAGAGCTGTCCTATGGATATGGGAAAAAATCTACTGTTCAGTCTGTGCAAAATTGTAAGTATCTAATATTTACAACATGTGAGAACTGCTTCACACATTGCAAAAAAAGGAAAAATAGGAGGAAAACATCAAACTTCAATGGCTAAATGTTTCCAATCTACTTCAAAAAAATTAGATGAGCAAGAAACTTTAATGAAGATTTGTGTCGCGCATTAGTGTCCTGCAAACATAACCGCTTTTCAAAATTAGCAAATGTAAATTTTAGTTTGTTTCTAAATAAAATATTGCAAACTTAATGTTCCAAGTGATCGGTCCTCTAAGAAGAAATAATGTGAACGGGCTATACTCGTCGGTGTTAATTAATATTAAGGAAGAAATTGCAGATAATATATTTTACATATCTGTAGACGAAACCACTGATTCCTCAGGAAAGTATATTGCTCATTTATTGATTGGTGGTTCTTAAAGAAGATACCTTACTAAAATCTCATCTTATTTCATGCCAGCAACTTGAGAAAACAATGCTTTAACAATTTCGCTTTTATACAAGAAACATTAGCAACTTTTATTCTTCCGACAACTATTCCTTCTAATAAATTACTGCTTATTTTATCGGATGCTGCTCCTTATATGGTGAAAGCAGGACAAAATTTAAAAACAGAGTTGCAGAAGAAATACGAAAAAAGTTTCCTCTTGTAAATACCATGATATCCAGTGTCAAAAAAGTATTTCTTAAATCTCCTATATGAATTCAAATTTATAAAGAAATGCTACCTAACATTCCTCTTCCACCATAACCTATTTTAACGCGATAAGAAACATGGTTAGAAGCAGCTAATTTTTATGCAGATTATTTTGTTAAAATAAAAAACATAATTGATACGTTAACAGATGAAAGTTCCCAATCTCTTTTGGATTCTAAACAAACTTTTTAGAGTAACTTGCTTCAACAAGAACTTTCATTTATAAAATCAAATTTTAGTTTTGTTCAAAAAACAATTACTCAGATAGAATCACCAAATCTGTCATTGTTCGAAAGTACAGCATTAATAAAAGAATTTGCGTCATGTTGTCGGAACGTTAGAGGTAATATTGGAAAAGATATTTTAAAAAAATTTGAAGCTACTATGGAAAAAAATAAAGGTTACCATATTCTTTCTGAAGTAGTCAGTGTTCTAGCTGGAAATATTTCGGAAACAATTAATTTAGAACCAAATGTTTTGGTTAGTTTGAAAAATGCTCCCGTTACATCAGTTGATGTTGAACGAAGTTTTTCCATATATAAATATATGTACTCAGACAGAAGCCACAAGTTTTTGTTAAAAAATTTTGAACATCACTTGGTCATTTATTGTTACCACAATTCTAAATAAGTTTATTCATACTTAAAAATGATGTAGTTACTTAAAATAAATGTAAATCTTAATGAATAGTAGGAAATATTTAGTTATGTACACTTTTTTTTTTAAATAAAATTGTTACTATTTTACGATTTTTTTATTTATTTGTATGCATATTTGTAAAATATTTGCATATTTTCGGTAAACACGTGCATATTTATGCGCATATTTTTCTACATTTTTTATTTGCATATTTGCCGAAGTCTAGTAATAGTAATTGTAAGGAAAAATTAAATCTTTCAGCCCTAGGCCTTCAAGGACTGTTGAGCTTAATAAGTAATATATAAGTGTTCTGGAAGACTTTTCACGAGGAACTAAAGATGGTTTTATGTAAACACGAAGAGAGGTTTTATTTTTTATGGCTTTTGTTACCATCAACATTCTTTTTGTTCAACCCGAAAGACTGGTGAGTTTAATATTAATTTTAGAATAGTATTACGACAGTACGAGAATATTACGACATACCAGATGAAAATTTTCCCTCTGTATTTCTTTTTTGTTACGTTTATTGATCGATATTTTTCTATTCGATTTGAATTACTAATTAATAACAATTTTTACCTTAAATCTGTTACTTCCTGCTCTGGATTCTCCATAAGGAACATCTTGAAAAGCATAGAAATCGTTTCCATCGGAACTTTGAAGAATATGTCCACGGATTTTGCCCAAATTCTCCAATTCAACTATTAAATCATCTTCTTCGGACTGTGCTCCACTTACAGGGGATGAAAACACCTAGAAAAAAAGTATTTATAGAAAATAATATTTTTAACATATTTTTATTAAAAATTGCTCGTTTTGCTGAGGACAAAAGAGTTAGAATAAAGGTCTCTACTTGAAATAATTGTAGAGCAAGACGTAAAAGACAAACCGAAAAATTTGTTAAAGGGACATAGCCTGTCTAACTAAAACAAAAAAACTTAAGGGAACTAAAAATTTGGATAATTACACAATGATATATAGTAGATTAGATCAAAGGTGAAGAGCTTACTGCTTTGTAGCTGTAGCATAGACAAGAAAATGACACCTAGAGTTAAGATATACTCATGTAGACATAAACGAAGAGCAACAAGATTAAAATTTAGAACTAGAATTAGCAAATAAAATAAAACAGACCATATACAATTGCAAATAATAGTGTATCATCTGCATAAACTGAAGTTCAGTCTCGTACAATCGGCCAAGGTTTTCGAGTCGTAGTGTCTCCTAGTTTCTCCTAGTTTCTCCTAGTCTCCTAGTTTCATAGATTTCCATTATGATTCCATAAAAAGAAGCAAATTGTGGATAGCAATGTTAGAAATTAGGAAATATCAAGAAAATTAATTGAATTAACGCAAATGTGCGTGTCAGACTCATATGCGCAAGTAAAGATAGGAAGCAGAACATCGATGCCATTTGGTATAAATTCAGGAATTAGGCAGGGGGCTCCCTTATGATCGTTGCTGTTCAATTTTGCTTTATAGGGTAACAGGTAGAGTGATTGGCCACTTAAGGAATTGCCAATTGAATTAAAATTGTAAATTGGTATCTTTTAAAGTAAAATATTTTTGTAAGGGTTCTTTAATAATAACCAATCATTAGATTTTATAAAAACTCAAAACATCAAAAACTAAAAAAGTAGTTATTTTAATCAGAAATAATAATGTATATAAAAAATAAATACAAATTTAAAAACATACAGAACTACACAGTTATTTGCCATAGAAACATAGTTATTGGCATATAGAAATTGGCCATGCATAAAATTCCTAATTTTCTTATTTTTGTCCGTGCAGGTAAGGCACACAAAACTATTTAAACTTTCAATTTCTTGTTGTTTCTTTGCACAAGTGCTAATGTGGCCTCTAACACAAAATATTCATTTTATTTCAACTTTTGATTTAGATATATTATAGTAACAAGAATAACACAATCCTGTATACAAAATGTTATTTACAGGTGGGTTGGTGTCATCTGATTGTTTCACCGTTATATCTGAGAGAATTTGTATTTTTTCACGTTCTGGATATCCCTCAGTTTTAAAAAATAACTTTCTAAATAATAAAGTTCTTCTTTGCTGATTTCCAATTTTGTACATTTGATTTGGGATGTATTCTTCAAAGTTGATGAATTCATGTTGTTGCAGACATCAAAAAATATGTTATCAATTGTGGGCAGATTAACGTTTTGCTCTACAGAATCAGAAAATTGGTTCGGTGATTATTCTTCTTTTTTTTTTTGAGGACAACGACATCTGGTGTATATACTCTAACTTCACTTTTTAAAGTAGTGCTTTTAATTATATGACTAATAAGTGTGTCTGCTTTACTGTAACATTTTCTTTATTCTTCACAACAGTTTGGCATTTTTTGCTCCCGGAATTGAAGCTTGTTGCAATTTTTTTTATTACTTTCATCATGATTTCCCTGTTTTTTTTTATCTTTATTCTTTGCTTTTGCGTCAATTCGCTATTGTTTTCATTCTAATTTTATTTTTTCTTGTTCTGCTTTTTCTTCAATTTTACGCCTCTCTGCATTTTGACAATATGACAAAATGAGCACGAAAGGCAACCTTTTTTGTTTGCATTTTGTCCTTTCCTTCTGGGGTTTTTGGCCCAAAAAAAGAATTTGTTGATTGAGGTGTCAATATGATAATAAGTTGTCTTAATTAAATAAAGTCAGATTATTGGATGTCGATTAAATATCTTCTGTCATTATATCTTCTGTGATATCTTTTTATTATATGTAATATCCACGTTTTCTGGAAGTTAAATTGGAAAATCCGAAAGTAGATTTTCTTCTGTAATAACAGGAATATCTTGTAAGTTGCATATGATATGGGTTTCTGTGATGATAGAGGTATCTTGTATATCATTTGTGATTCCACCTGTCTCTGTAGTCTGAATCGTGGGTAGCTCTATGGTATTTTGAAAAAAATTAAATATATTAAAGAGCAATTTTAAATCTCCACTTAGTTCTCCTATTACTATTACTCTATTACTCCGTGGCGTTACAACCCTTCGTGGTTTTAGCCGACTCGACAACATGCCTCCACTGTTTCTGTCTTGAGCTACCTCCATCCAATTCTCCACGCCCATAGTGCTTAGGTCTCCTGCTATATTATCTCGCCACCGGAGACGAGGGCATCCACGTGTCTCCTTCCAGTTGGGATTTCCTCCCACACCAGTCTTACTGTTCGTTCGTCAGAATGTCTTCTGAGGTGTCCTGCCCATTGAAGTCTTCTGGACTTTATTTATTTTTATGATGTTGGCGTCTGGTAAAGTTCTTCAAGCTCTTTATTAGTTCTTATCCTATATTGTCCTGATGTCCTATACTTAGTTTTTCACAATTATCTAAACTTTAAAATTCTAATATTTTTGCGGCTCCAACTGTGTCTACAAAATATTGATATGTTATTGATTTTGTCATAGAAATCGTGTGATTAATACTTTTATGCGGGTCTTTGATCAATCCTAAACATTTGGAATAGTCTATTGCTTCAGGGTTCTGTAAATACAATACAAATGACTGTCTTTAGTACCATTGCAAAATTCTCTTTGGTGACTACTGAGTTCGGGTTTTTGCGTCTAAACTTTAATACTGCCCGGTTCGAATTTGCCTTTAATGGTTTAAATAATTTGTAACTTTGAACATAATTCACTGGTTTGAATGGTTAAGTGAGTTTTATGTCCATTAACGAATAAAATGACTGAAAAATTAGTGTTTTTCGCAACTATGTACTTATATAAGACATTTTCTATGTATTTATAAGTTTTTTGTTCTTCATCGATCCCGTGTCGCTACATCCTATGCCCCGTTCTCGTGAAACTGAATTTAAAATATTGCTAGGAATTCCTTTATAAGGGTAAATAATCATTGGTGCTATTATTTTTTCAGATGCTGCAAAAGTAAACATAACCGTCAAATTACTTTAGAGTGATGCTCTATTTTTGCTTCCCTTTACAGCCAACACTCGTTTATTTTTGGGACATAAGAGGAAGCAGGTTTTATCGCCATTTAAAATACGTGAAGGGTCTTGAAGAATATCAATGCCACCTTTACGATGCAAATATTCTTGAACACCGGTGAACCATTTTTTTTACATCTTTTTCAGACACAACTAAACTTGCTGCCGTTATTGCTTCTGGAGTTCTCTCACTTAAATCTGGTTGTCGCTTTAAAAAGGATCTATACCAACCTCTTCCGGGCCGATTGTCAGTATTGGACAAGGATTGGCACGTGGATTTGCGTCAAAAAAAACCTTTAACCGAGTCTTGTATATCTTCCACTCTTACTGGAAAACCTTTGTCTTGGCATGTTATGATCCAATGAATTTAAACGATTCTCTTCCTCCAAACAAAGAATATGATTGGACCAAGGTAGTATTTTACATTGAAATTTTCACTTGCTCTAAACTGCAATGTTTGCTCTTGGCACATTAAATTGTTCAGCGGCTTTTCTTTGGCTCATGCCATTTTCTATGGCCTAAAAAGCAGACTGAAGATCTTGTTCTTGTATATTGTTTGTGATTCGTTTTTATATTTCCGGATATTTGGCATTTTTTTATTCTACATAAAATAAAAATCATTTAATAGTAATAATATTATCTACAATAGAGACGTTTCAAATTTGATTCAATATGCCCACATTAGCACTTATTTTATAACAACTAAAACAATTGTAATTTTAGAAATACAAATTCGGATAAAATATATATTCTTATTACACATTACAGTTATTGGCCACCCTGTGGTTTAATGATTGTGCAATCGACCAACCACTAGTTGTTGCCTTAAAAAATAGGAAACAATGTTTGAAATATCTTATCTTGGACCAAACTAGGCTAAAAAAGTCTAAATTATAATAAAATATTTTAATTCGAAGTAGGTACAGTGCTTGGCCACTTAAATATACCGCCAAAAGGGAATAACTTAATTATTAAAGCCACTGATAATGTAAGATTTACCCCACTAAATCGCAATAAAACATTATTATACCCAGATACATAATACTATTAGCCAAGATAACCTCCCTCATGAATAGCCTTCCTTAACAAATTCTTTAAAAAAACTTTTAAAACTTGAGGCACCTGTTAAGCTTCAAACTACACACGTCTCGTTAATAAGTTAATATTAACTGAGAGAGATGATAGCTAGACTAAAATATATAGCAATGTTAGCAAATTTAAATGCAAATAAATCTATTTAGTTATAGTTACTGAAAATCTTAATATTTCGATTTCTGTGAAAGTGGCCAATCACTAGTGACCGGCCAACAACTGTACCCGTTACCCTAATATGCAATAAGTAAAATATCGTCTAAGCTGATAGTAGGATTTGCTGATTAATGATTAAAACTGTTACTAGCCTTTGCTGATGATATAGATGCAGTCACGCATTCTACAAGAGACGTGAGAGAGGTCTTTTCACAGATAGAGAAGGAAACAGGTAGTCTGCGTCTCCGAATAAATGAAGAAAAGACGAAATACATGGTAGTAACCAAAAATCCGAGACCAAGAGTTAGGCAGAACATCAGTATTAATGTAGTATTAATCACAACTTCGAAGTATAAAATAGTTTAAATGCCTGGGACGATAATCACAGCTGACAACTACGTAGAAAAAGAGGTCTCAGCAAGGATAGCTGCGAGAAATAGAGCATTATACCATATTTATATATATTATATATTATATTATGGCAGTGAAATATAAACTCTCAACCAGCGGAAAATCAGTAAGCTTTTAATATTTGGAAGAAAGGTTCTTTCTTTCAAATATTTGGCCCTCTAAGAGATGAATTCACATAGATTGGAGAAGACGCCACACTGCTGAATTGGTGACTCTGTATGGAACTAAAAACATAGTTAGATATATCAAGGCAAACCGAATCAGATGGACAGGTCACGTGGTACGATCAGAGGATGACAGAGTGTTAACAACAGTGTTTTTTGAAAGACCAGATGGTAGAAGATCAGTAGGCCGACCGAGAAAAAGATTAAAGGATACTGATGAAGCCCATTTTTCTAAAATTGGGACACAACAATGGAAAATAGAAGCACAAGATCGTAGAGGATGGAGGGCGATAGTGGATGCGGCGAAGACTCACACCGAATTGTAAAGCCAGTGAAGAAGAAGAAGAAGAAGTGTCTCCTAGTTGGCTGTAGTTAAATCCGAGAAAGACACTTCTTGTACTCAGCGACATAATAGGTAAGGTATCATAGATAGTTTGAATAAAAAATATCAATCTAACAATACAAAAATTAAAACCACAACTTGATCGATATTCTTGCTAGGGGCTTTTGACTCTTCAAGAAACAGGATTCTAGTTTGGATTAAGATGAGCCTCAATTTACCGAAAAAAGTTGGACGGAGAATACTGCAAGGGGTCATAAGAAGGACATCTTGCCAGTTTTAGTGGTTAATTTGATAGAAATGTACATACCCTAAAAAATAATGCACAGTTTAATTTGTTTGTTTTGAAATAAAATAAGAGTAAAATGTAATAAAATAAATTAATCAAAATAAAACTTACCCCTTTGTTTGCAACGTATAGTAACGAACAAAATATTACTAATCTTAAATGCATGATTCTTCGATTTGACGAATTCGGCCTGAGCGATATTCTTATATACGAAATTTCAAACTATGTTATCCTAATCACAATCATGATCATCATCACACTTAAATAAGTCAATTACTCAACTAATCAATCAAATACTTTAGATATGAATAAATATATTTCTACAAAGAATTTTTGAAAATTATTCGTGATCCTAGACTTTAGACCAGTAGTGAATATTTCATATGTTTCATGAATAACTATATTTTAAATCATAAATTCTCCAAGTTTGCAGCGTTGATAGATTTTTCGAGCCAACTCTTTTTCAATTTTATAATGCTATAGACCAGATTAACAGTACTAATCAATCCAGGAGATTCCGTTAGAACTGTATTCACATAGCCTGCAAATTATTTAAATTCCTCACGTATCTACAAACAAACATTTAACTACTTTCGATAAAATTAATACATCAATAATGTCTATAGAATAACTAGAACAATTTGAAAAATTCAACACAAATGATTATATTTATATAATATATACATAGACAGTGTGGAAACAACTTATGAAATAGAATTGTTTTTGTGTTTGTTGTAGTGTAGCGTTGGTAGGTACTTTCCACGATCCTGGTGAAAATAGACCCACTTCAGGGATAAGCGACATTGTTCGAACGCAAGCTTTAAGTTTTCACTATACCATACCTAAGACTTATGACTAGAGATTGGATTATATGCAAAATGCATGTGCATATAATATGCGAGCACATTTGTGGAAAATGCATGTGTCTATTCATATTTACTTGATTAAGAGGCATATTGCTTATATATTTGAAAAATATCGCATAAATAAAATGGTTTTCTATCATCATCAGTTGGCGCTAGAGCCCTTCGTGAGCCTTGGCCCGCTTCATAACATTCTTCCATCCTTGCCTATCTCTAGTGTCTGTCTTCTCCAGCCCCTCACTCCAATCTCCCTCAAATCTTCCTGTACATCGTCCTGATATCTGAGTTTAGGTCGCCCCCTTGTTCTTTTTCCGACCGGCCTGTTTAGCATATCACTCTCATCCCAACTACCTTAGGCGGTTTATTTTGATGGTGTTCATAATAACTGCATTACCAAAAGTCTATAGAGTTAAAAGTTATATCGCCTTCTCCATAGACCCTGGTCGTTTACTCCGCCATATATGGTCCTCAATACTTTTCTTTCAAAGACTCGTAGTAACTCTTCATCTCGGGTCGTCATTGCCCATGTTTCCGATCCGTATGTGAGCACTGTGCGTATTATAGTTTTATAAAGTTTGCACTTTGTTGCTATTGACATACTTATCGATATTAGTTGAGGGTCCAGGCCAAAATATCAGCGGTTAGCCACGCATATTCTATTTTTTTTATCTCGTTGGATGTGTTATTTTTGTAGTCTACCAGTGATCCTAAGTAGCAGAATTCTTCTACCATTTCTATCGTTTCGTGTTGGACCTCTAAATTATTTTGTTGAATTCTTGATATGGCCGTCGTATATTTAGTTGTCTGGATGTTAATCAGAAGTCCGATGTTTTCTGCGGCATTTTTGATACGTGTGTAAGCCTCCACCGCTTCATTTTGGGTTCTTCCAATTATGACGATTTCATCAGCGTATGCCATTATTTGTATACTATTATTTAAATATGTATAGAATGGTTTTATATACATATTTAAATAATAGTTTCTTGGAATTATTCATAGCAGGTACTAGGTAAGATAACTACGAAATAATTTTATTACAAATATCTACTAAATCTACAAGTTTTATTGTTTTGAAAAACTTATCTGGGAATTTATTTATTAGAAGAATATTGCCAACATTTAGGTAGGTATTATACAATAAATTTGTTTTTTATTTCTCTTTACCAGCTGCCAAAGCAACTTGTGATTTTGGATATTGTGCTTATAAAATAAAAATAATTTATTTTTTGAAAATATGCCGAAAATATCGAAACAAAAATCAAGTCTGTTGCGGAGTTAGGCAACAGTGGCAACAGTGAAATGAAGTTTATAGACAATGAAAGTGTTTTTTGTACTATTTGTAAATCAAAAGGTGAGTCAATCATATTTTAACAATTCAAAAATTTAATATAAAATCTTATTTTTGCAAGAAAATCGACATACCTATACTAAACATTTTAACAGTTTAAACTATTGGCGGTTAGTTTTAGTTTCAAGAAAAAAAAATATAAGTTATCTTAAAAATTTGAAGTCCATATTATTGCATTAGACACCTATTTACTAAACCGTTTTATTACAGATTCCATATGAACAAAAATTCCAAATTTCCCAACACCTGAAAACGGCTCTCCGCCAATATACAGGGTTTAAACAATTTAAAGAGTTTAAACAGGGTGCCAGAGAAAGTTAGACTCGAGTTTTCAAATGTAAATACTGTTACGATAATAAATGTTGTGGCGTATAAAACTGTAAATATTTTATGACTAATTCTTTTTTTTATTGATTCTCGTAATTTCTAGGTCAAAATCTACCTGACACACGAAGGGTTTCCCTTCGCTATAAGAGCTTTGTGGAACCGCACCGATACCAGTTTTTAGATAATTGCCGCTCTGTCTACGTCGAGAAGGGCATCGTATTTTCGACAACATTCTATTTACCAGCTGGTTTCGTATAAATAACGGAATGGTTTTCATTGAGGAGTTAGTGAAGAAAAGAAACTCGCAGACGTGGTTTAAAATGTACGAACGTAATAAATAGTTGTACAGTTATTTAATAAATTGATAATAAATTATCATGAGTTTTAATAAATTAGAACAAATACAATAAATTAGAACTATAAAAAATATAACAATACTTTAATTAACAATGTAAAGAAAGTATTTTTAAAAACACCATTGCGAGTAGAAGTATATAGGGAGATGCTTCTGGATATCCCTTTGCCACCGGAACCAGTATTGACTAGATGGGGGACGTGGTTGAATAGTGCCATATTCTTGCAAATAATTATATTGATATCAAAAATATTATATCAAATTTTGATCCTTCTTGTTCTATTGGTGTTCAGAAATGTCAAAATATTTTTAGTGAGAATTCTGTTCAGAATGAACACAGTTCCTATATAAAAGCAAATTTTGACATAATTGTAAACTCTATTATAAACCTAGAGATGTCAAAAATTATCTTTAAATGATAGTATTTGCATTGTTGATTCTGTCAAAGAAAGAATAGTAAACCTTTCAGGGACAATTGGAAAAAAAATTAAGGATACATTTAGTGAAATTTTAAACCGTAATGAAGGCTTTTCTTTATGTGCGGCAATACAAACGTATGTAAAAATGTGAGTTTGATTAACTACTTATGTTATTAACGTAGTGATCCTGCGATGGGATCTTGTACTATTAAAAAAACGGCTTTATTTAAATTTAAACACGTATTTCAAATACAGAAAAATATAAAAAGGATATTATTAACAACCAAAAATATTATTTGTATATGTTTATTTTAACAACTAACTACAGTATTTCTATTCTAAAATTTAATAACTTATATAGGGTGGATGTATGTAATGGTCCAATAGAGATTTAAAACTATAATAATTTCGGGGATTATCGTGAACTGTGAACTGCGTATTTAAATCTAAATACTTCACAGCATCGGGTTTTACTTCTGGCCAAATTACGTTTTGAAGTTCTTCATCCGACTCTGGAGTGGGATTCCTAAAACATACCAAAGCATATTATTATCTGGGTCAGGTATTTAGGGTCAGGTTCAGCAGTTACCTTGAGCTTACGCACTTGTGTTGTATTGCGTTTTATTACGGTTTTATATGTTTTTTAGAGGATTATTGATTCAAAATGCTGCCAAATTCACGTGGTGCATATTTATTACGATTAGCAAGGGAAAAAATAACAAGAAAACGGTAAGTTTTTTTGTTATTTACTAGCGCTTGAAAGTGAGGTTAGAATTATTTTAGAAACTGACGAGGAAGGTAACCACTCGGACACATTGGATTCGGAGAAAGATTTGTAGGTACCTTCAAGTTCAGAAGATATTGATTTTTCGTCTACTTCAGATGAAGATACTACTCTAAAAAATAAGGTGGGACAAATTGAAACCCATGCTGTTGTACATGAAAACAGATGTCTGGATAAAGGGCCGGATATTGGAAATATTTTGTTTGAAGACTCAATAGACAGTTAAGACAATCAAGTCACTAATGAGCAGCAATTGACGAACCCAGTTGGCAATCACCAATCAGACGAAGATACTACTACGCGAAAAAATGAAACTAGTGTTGTTGTTCACAAAAATCATATGTCTGATAAAAAAAATTTAACTAAAAATCCTTTGTAACAGGTATATATTTAAGGCCCAAACGGGCTAAGTTAAAAAGACATAACGTTTTCGGAAACCATGTTCCATCATCAGTGTCTAGGAGTACATGAATGTAGCCACCAAGATTAAGTATATGGGTAAAACCCGTTAACAGATGTTTAATTACATTTAGTTTTATAAAAATACGTTATAATAATTTAAGATTATAGAGTTACCGATGGATTAGGTAACATGGCGAAACCGGTACCATGGTAACATGGTACCGGTAATTTTTATACCAGCCTTGAATTGGCTAACCTTCTTTTAGATAACCGTACGCGTTTAAGGGCAAACCGTAGAGGAAACCCGTTTTAATTAAAAAGACGTTTAGATTAAAAAATTTAAAAAGGGTGAAATTTTTGCTAAAGGAAATGATAGGGAATTTGTATCATCAAGTGGCATGATAAGCGTGATGTACTGATTTTATCAACTAAGCATATTGACAATTCTAATATTATTGAAAGATTCACAGCCCCTATAAGTAAACCAGAAGCTAAAGTAGACTACAATGCTGGCAAAGCTTCAATCGATTTATCTGACTAGATGGTTAGTTATGATTCTGCTTTGCGGCGTTCACTGAAGTGGTATCGCAAGATCGCAATGGAAATCATACTGGGCACAACTATTGTAAATACGCATATAATATTCAAAGAACTATCTAGTACAAACATTACAATAGGCAAGTTTCGTGCGATTGTTGTCGCAAACGTACTAAAAGTGGGTTTAGAAGCTAATAGACATGCTGATGTCCCACGGCAACCAATTACAAGAAAAAGTATAAAAAAACCATACATAATTGAAAAAGGAAGGAGTGGCTGCTGTTGTAAGAAAATATTTTAGAGGATGCTACGAAACGAAAATTAGTGGAAGATACCCAAAACCAGAGTAAAAAAGGTTACCACGTACTGTACGGATTGCGAAGATCATCCTCATTTTTGCCTTTCCTGCTTCAATGCAAAACATTTAAAAAATTAATTTTTAACATTCTGTTTAAATTTAAGTGTTTCTTTTACTTGCTTTTACTTTTACTTTTTTATGGATCATAAGCGTGTTACGCAGATTATTTTAAATAAACATTTTTTTTATTAGAAAAATATGTCGCATCCACCAAAAGGTTATTAGTGACGGAGCAAAATATAAAAAACAAAGTTAAACACCTACAGATTGTACAAAATGTTTATGGATCTAAGATAATTCACTATATTGTTACAGGAACAGTTTTGACCTAGAGCCTGTAGTAGAGCGTTTGGGATCTTGTAGCGCTGTCTTTCTTGGTCATATTTACTAATAATTGTTAAAAAATGTTCGACTGTTAATCGGACGTTACAGTGATCACATCTATAGGTGGATTTTTCTTTGTGAAAAGGTAGGAGTACGTTAATCTGGTATGTCCTAGGCGTAAACGCGCAACCGCAATTTGTTCTCGTCCATTGAGGACGATGGAAACCACTGTGACACATTATTTTGATTTTATTTAGATTGGAATTAGTTTGAGACCACTCATTTTGCCACAAACACCACACTTTATTTTTAAAATAAGCTTCTAAGTCACTGGAAACACACTTGTCTATCGGCTTTGACAAATCACTTAAAATTGCCTCTCGTGCAGTCCTGTCAGCTTCTTCATTTCCTGTTATTTCGACGTGTGAGGGAACCCATAAAAATTGGACGCTTCTTCCATGTTCATAAGAAATAATAATATCTGGAGAATATTTAGATAAAAGAAGCTGTAGCATAGGAAGACGATGAAAAAATCTATCAATGTTCCATTGAAGTATCGAGTTGAATGTTGTTAACAGATTCGGCGTTAGATGATACTGAACAATTATGTACAGAAGAGTCACTATCTAAGTCAGAAATCTCTTTCTCTAAATGGTTGTGTAGTTTCTTTTGAAGTTTTGTAAACTTGCTTTTTGTAGATCTATCATTTGCATACTGATAGCTGCTTTGTAAAAGATGGAGTAAACCGTCCATATCAGTTGTAAATTCTTTGACGATGCTAATAGTGTCGGAGGAGCCTTGGACATTATCAATCAGTAAGGACAATTGGTGGTAATTTAAAACGAATGGTGGGGTATGATTGTCAATGAAATTTTCAAGAGTTTCCGTGTAGATGGGACTTTAGATAGAGCGGTTTTTTTGGTTTAGAGGGTTTTGGTTTTGCAAACAGATTTTCTGATGAAATTACTGAGTCTGAAGGAGGCGTGACGATCTCACCAATACTGCGTTTTATGGAAGAACTTGCGTTTTCGTAATTGCTATTAGAGTTTTCACTTGATGCTGTGGCTTTATTACATTTGGAAGTACTGGAGCAAACTCATTGGTAGTGACAGAACTCGAGCTTGAAGTTTTATTTGTAAGATTGGTTGAAATGGTTGTTTCAGAAAATTGTCTTGATGTATCAGTTTTATTAGAATTTTCTGCAGTTGTATCTAATGAAAAAGGAGCTGATAGATTGGAGGATATTGCTTCCGAAGTTTGTGAAAACGGTATTGCTACTGAATGAGGTTGATTGAAAGTGTTGTTATGAGTAGGAGCGTTAGTAATTTCTTGTCATGGAGATTTGTAGGTATAGGTGATATGCCTGGCTTTGATAATGGATAACTTGATGACTGCTGGGTGTTTGGTACCTTGTGTAGTATACTTGTTGAAGCTGTTTGATTTGGTACTTCATTGTTTGACTCAATATGAGTTGATTCCGTTACTGAACTGTTATTGCATTGGGATGATATGTGTCCTGTATTTTTGCAAATAAAGCAGGTAAGTGTACCTTGTGACAAAAATATGCGGTAAGGTGTTTGATCGAAATTTATTAGAATAGAATCTGGAATTGGTGACGTTATAGGGCTTATATAAACTTGCCTCCGAAAGCTCAATATGTGACTATATTCGGGGAGAGTCGAGCTAATTTTCAGAAATGATATTGGGAAAATAAGCTTTAAACCGATATTCTGTAATTCTTCAACTAATACTTGATGAGGAATTGACGGGCAGACTCCAGACAAGACTAGTCTTTCTGCTGGAGAGACAAGTCTTCGTGCTGTTACAACTTCGCCGAGTACTTCTATAGAGCCATGTTGTGTCATGAAGTTATCTACTACGGTTTTGTTTGCCAAATACATGCAGATTCTATTATGAGATAATCTAGATGAAAAAATAATATTTTTTGGGTTGATGATTGTGCCCAAAGGAATGAGATAATCCTGCAGTTTAGCATTATCGATGCAACTAAATACAATTGCTTGGGTCTTACTCGGAAAAGAGTGTGAAGCGGCTGATGCATAACTGTTTGTGATATTCGAACGTTGATTTACTGGACTGGTTAGATCGGAAGGTGTGTTTACATTCTGTGAAGTCATTTTAAGCTGTGGCGGCGAAGGCCTTACTCCGACTTGGTAAGTGAAAAACTAACCGCATGCTACTATAAGGTACTTATAACAGCTAACCTCACAAAATGATTGTACGGTAGTATATTTATTATTGACGTTTTCTTTTCACACTAATAAAATAATAATTACGTATAGATAACTTACGTAGTAGTATCTAGTAGATAAACACTTTAATTTTAAAAAACTATTTAATAAAACCACTTGTTTTTATTAAAAACTAGGAGTACGATATCAGTACAACTTAGCCATACTTTGCCAGGGCCGGTATCCTTTAAATAAACATTGATTTATTATGTTTTGCCTGATTTCCAGTAATATTGTAAAATTATTAATTTAATATGGAAACTCACATATTCGTACACGCTAAGCAGTCACATTTCATGTGCATTTTAAATGGAAGCGGCGATCAGAATAGTGTTTCTGCTAGATTTATTGTCAAATGACGCAGCGCCCTATATGACCGCCATGGCGCGTTAGGATAGTCGCACAAGCGGCTTATTTGACCGCTACGACAGTGAACTGTCAAGTTTCAGAATTTACTCATAGTAGATATATTCTTGGACTTGATCTATCTCATTGCCATTTATAGTTATACGTCTAGAGTCGTCGTGATTTAAGTAGTTTACCTCGGCATACTTCTACTTTTTTAAGTAGTTTTTTTTAATGATACTTACTGGTATTTAATAAAATTAGTCCATAATTTTAGAAAAGGTTTTCGAAGGGATTCAGTACTTGGACCAAGAGGAAGTCCACCCCAAAAGTACCATACATCTGCTCCATGCGGCACTCCTTAAAAGTAATATTAATGAAATATCAGAAAATGTTATCGAGCATTTTGGTTTTTAAATACAAGACTACAAGTGAGAATCACTGCTCTGTTAATTAATTAATTTGACCATATAGATGTTTTCCCTTTATTATCGTACATTTATTTTCGTAATATTAATATAAGGACCTTTAATAATGTAATTTTCTTCGTTAACCGCGTTAACAAAGGTCTAAAGGTATTTAAAGCTATCTGGAAGAGCAAGTGCTAGGCCAAACATCTGGTAAAAGGCCTCTTAGGGACGAAGAAACTTGTTGGTGAAACAAAGAAGTGCAACAAAAGGTTAGCGACAATATAGAGGTTAGATAGACACATGGGAGGTCTAAAAGAGACGAAGATGAGGCAGTAAATACTGCTTAGTAAGCATATGCATACTGAGCTACTGCTAAGGAAAGATCGTCTGCAAAACTGTATCAAGAGTTGGAAACACACGAGGGGATATAAGATATTACGGATGACTTAAGCAAGGGACAAGTTATTAAAGGACCCACGTGCGGTAATTAAGAGTGCGAGTGGAAAAGGGTTATGATCGGATGTTGAAATAAAGCAAAGATGTTGAAATTAAGTACCTAGGGATTAGACTGTCCAGTTATGGAGAAATTGAAAAAGAAAGTAAGCGATAATATACAAAAAGCAAATAGATTATCAGGATGCCTTATAATAGCGTAACGTGACAATAGCTATAAGATGAAATCAAGAATCTATAATCCGTAAGGCCAGTAATGGACCAATAATGGCATATGTATTAGAAACAAGACCAGTAACAGTCAAAACACAGATAGTGTTGGAAATAGCAGAAATGAGAATTCTCGGCTCACAGGAAACACGTTAGTAGGCCGAATAAGTAGTGACGAGATTATGAAAAAAATGTAATTTACAGAGTACTTGTATTAAACGAGTGGACACTTAATAGAAAAAAAGAGTGGAACCACCATAACAAAAGAATGGTGGATACAAAGTCGTTCAAATAAAAAGGGACAAATAATCAAGTGGCAGAAGCATCGGCCGACCACTCAAGACATAGAGTGACTATGTTCCATAGAGGCATTAACCTGCCAATGAACAAGTCAAAAAGAAAAAGCAGAAACTGTTAGAGGTTTAAAATACCGTAATACTACAATGTCCATAGAGATATAGATCCGAATACTAATTTTCTGACATATTTGGTGCAAAAGGTTCTATTTTTGTACTAGTGTTGCCCAAAATTGGTCTTGGTCTTGCAGTCTTGGTCTTGTCCTTGCGTTTTCGCGAGACCAAGAGCAAGACCGCCTCATTTTAGCAAGACCAAGACCTAGACTGACCGTGCAAGATTTCAGCAAGAACAAGACTAAGCCTGCTAAACACTTGCGTCTTGCAGTTAGGACTGAGTGTCGTTTTAGGAAGTAAAGTCGTTCGGGTATATGCTTAAAGACTCTATGAGACGCAAAAATATGTAATAAAAATTTCGAACAATACCATAAACATACATACCGAATCAAAATATTCATTAAAAGAACACATTTGACATGTGCTCATAGATCATAATTACAATGTAAAAATAAAATATTTTGTACATTCTGTCCCAGTAGACGACTTCTTCGTTCTGAAATTATGTCCAAATTTTGAGAATAGCCGCCCTCTATCTAATCATAAAATACTCTTCTTGAATTGCAACGCCGACAGAGATATATTTCAAAATTTTTCAAAAATATGTCACCGTAGCTAATAAAAATATAATACTGATTGTTAAGGACACCCACTTAATAATTCAATTTTTTTCTCATTATAATTTAGTTAGGAGGAATCTAAATAAACAAATCTTATCGGCCAAAAAGACTAAACCTTGTTTCTGCTGAATTTGCGATGAGATCATTCGGTTAAACAAAATTTGCTGAAAGAGCGCGACTAATATTTAAAATGTAACGAGACAAATTAATAACAGATATTGTCGCCTACCGTGTAAACAAAGTACCGAAATATTTAAAATAACGAAGTCACGATATATAATTCTTGGTTTATTATTCGTTATTTAGGGTATTGGATACTAACGTACACAAAGTAACTGGTAGTAGTTACTTTTTCGACATCACTAAACTTTATTCCCAATTAAGCTTTCCTTTGAGTCTAATGTAATAATTGTTTTGCATCTCATCCTTGTTATTTCCGGAGTGACAAGTTTACAATTTGACATGATGGACAAAAATTCAGATAGTTCTAGTCGGAGTAGTGAAAGTTGGAGTTATAGATCTAAAAGACCTAAAAGCAAATTTGATGAGTTTTTCGAAATAATTCATGCATACTAAATTGCTTTGTGTAAATTGTGCCTACATAGAAAGGTTAAAATGAAAATGAAAAACAGAAATACGTCAGGTTTAAGGAAGCATCTAATATCTTTTCACAAAAAGGAATTACAAATATTTCTTCCTAAAAAACCAAAACTCGGTGGAGATCTCACAAGCTTTGTAATAACCACTGGAAGAAGTGGACATGTAAAAAAATATACTTACTACATTATTACCAATTACATATATTATGTACATACTACTTTATTTTGGTAAATTAATGTATTTATTAAGTAGGTATCTGCTTATTTAAAATAACTTCTTTTGATTATCATTGCTTTTTTACCTATTCTTTATTTTTTCAATTTAGATTTTTATATAAAAGTAGAGCTAAGATTGTTAACAACATTTATTTTGCTTAAATAAGTAAATTATAGTTTGTTATCTTATCACCTAAAGAATATGTGCCCTTGAAACCCGTGTGTGGACTTTTTGCCACATAACAATCTTTTTTAAGATGATTTCAATTTCATATATAGTGGGGGGTCCATCAATTCCTTTCTGGACAGATAATGTTCTTTAAAATACAGTCAAGTTTATGTCATTAATTTGGATTTTTTGTTTTAACCATGATTTAGCACATGTAAGCTTATTAAATGCAAACGTTTATATAGAAACAGATTGACTTCCGTGGGGCATAGTAGATAGCTAAGTTAGTTAGAGCATAGGCACGATCGCTTAAATCGTGGCTTCAAACCCAACCCGGTGTCAGTTGCTTAAGAGATTTATTAATTTGGTTGGTCTTTATTATGGTTATGTTAATTCAAGCTTAAAATGTACTTACACTGTTACGTTGTTCTAAGATCTAAAGTAACGTTTGATAAATAGCAATAGACTAATGGGTAACTGTAAGACTTGCAAGACTCTTGCTGCAAGACCAAAACCAAGACCTAGACCGGGAATGCAATACCCAGACCAAGACCAAGACCAGGTGTATTGGTGTAAGACCAAGACTGTCTAAGTCTCGTCTTGTTCTTACATTTGGGCAACACTAATTTGTACTAAGCTAAATTTAAACCAAGTAAAATCACCAAATTAATCTAATTAATAAAATTTAATTTACTTAAATAGCCATGCTTACCTATCTCCGTACTGTTTTCTGGTAACCATGAGAGCTGATACAGGTAGACTGGTACATATCGAGAGGCACTTTCAGCTTGGCGTATTGATGATCGAGCAAAAGCTTCATCAGTAGTGTACTAAAATTAAATAAATCAGATGATGAAATGGTTGCCGATGTGAGTTCATCTAAATGATGTTGAAAGAAAGTCTCTACAAAAAACTATTAAAAGTTTAGTAAGTCTTAAATGATGTTATATTTAAACTAGGGATTACAGTATAAGAGACATATCAATCTATAGTTGTACTTAGTTTAGCCAGCATAAAATGTTTAAAGCAAAAAAAAAATTTGTTAAAAAAAGTACTGTCTTTATTAGAAATTGAATTCATTACGAATTTTGACTATGATGAATGGCATGTGGAATGCAATTTTATTTTCTCTTGCCGAGTAATTTATCAAGCTGCTTGCTTTGCAAGTTTTAGAAAGCACAGTGTAAAAATTTTAATTCATTTCGCCATGTAGAAATCATATGATTTCTATTTTTGTTATTAGATGGCGTAGTTACGTCCATATATAGTTATTTTTATAACTATTGTTTACGACGGGAATAGATTTTGTTTCGATCCAGAGTAGTGGCTATACTGCTCCGAGGAGACCTAGAGAGGTCGAAATACATATAAGCGGCTTGCCGCTGCTCTATATCAAAACAAAAATCTTGTACCGTCTTTATATTATATTTTATAAAATTTGTTTAATTTATTAATGTTTGTATTTTGAGAACGATTTCCGAAGTGGAAATTGAAACGTCAATAAACTTGCCACAAGCAAATAGCTTCAGAACAATATTAAGACTTTTGTTCGTGTGATCATTTACTTGCTTTCACATATTGCCTTATCCAAGTATAAGGAAAACTTCTTACCTTTACAAATGCATTTCTATCTTCTACAAAAGAAGAAAAGTTATATATCTCTTTTAAACCATTGCCAACTGTCTCTCTGTCTTCGTCGGCAACATTAAGGGATTCAGCTACAAGATTTGATGGACTTTCATCAAGTGATTTGGCTCTTTCTTCAATGGTTTCATTCCCTGCTTCTACGAAAAAAAGGCACCTTTAATTGAAAGATGGTTCGAAGCAGAGATGGAATGGTATTTTCTATTTATAATCTGGACTGTTTGACATTGCCTCTTTAATTTACATACATTTTTCATAAACCAAATAATTCTGTTTTATGAGAATTAATTGAATGAGTTAAATTGCAAATGCTAGTATTTGTGTTGAAAATTAGTAACATTACTAAAAATTTTAGCAATTTTAAAAAAAGTTTGTTACTACCATGTGTAAAAAGATTATACTTACGATTAAGAAAACCTAAAGCTTCTTCGGAATTTATGCCAATAAGAAGAGGCACTAAATTAAAATGGCCATCCAGTACAGCACCATGCATGGGTTCGGTAACAAAAGCATCGTCGTTGTTTTCATCCTCCAGAACTGGCTTATAAACTAAAGCATCCATAAATCCTACATTGCCGCCAGGTGAAAACTAAAAGAAAATAAATTGATCGTATTTGAAATGTATAACTGTAATATCGAATAGGTTTAGATTCCAAAATATAATTTTACCGAACTCTTTGTAGATAAAAATATTTTGTCTCTTTTATAAGAGAATTCGAAGGTACTTAGACATATTAATAATTGAACTGCCATTAATCTTCTTTTGAGTCAATATAAAACAGATATATTTTAAATACCCATCCCTTACATTAACCTCAGTTTGACTGTTTTTAATAAAGAAGATGCGAACCATAGCAATATACTATAGTTTATTTTTATGAACGAGAGAGTAATTAGCATAATTTTAACTGGTATCTCCGACCACTCCATGGGCGTGCTCAAGATTAATTGAAAAATTACTTTGAATAATTGTAAAAAATAAATGAATTATTTCAGTGTTATAAAGTGTTATGTGTATGTAAACAAAAGTGACCTCTTTTATCACACACTATATTAGAACTGACTGGCCTACATTAAAAAGGGTTTTAAAAAATTCACATTTTCTTTAATTTTTAAAAATTACAAAAGAGAAAAAGAGGAGTTTTTAAAACCGTCTAAGGTATGTTAAATGGATGAATAAAAATATTAATATAAAACTTACAGCTACTTGTTACAAATCCAAATCAGATTCAGAAGATGAACTTTCAGAACCAAGATTTATAATAACTGGCTCGATCATTTTATCAGTAATATTGTCCAGCTTCCACATTTTTTCCTCTTCTTTAATAGTGTGATTTACTGCCCTTTCCCAGTTTTCAGCTTTTACATTATTTACGGCCTCCAAAACAACTGTTTAACATCATGAATTTTAAAAGTGGTATTTTTTCTTGAAACTTCACTCTTTATCTGTGCCCATACCAGTTCAATCGGGTTTAATTCACAATGATATGGTGGGGATCTAAGTACTGTCATTCCACGATTTTTGGCAATTTCATCAATTTCGTATTTTTTAAATTTTTCTTTATGAAGGGCACACAACGAATAAAGTTCCTTTCTTATAGATCCGGGATGGTACGTAATATTTTTTGAACTCAGCCAATTCTGCAAGTCTTTTTTTAACCACTTGGTTGTGGGCAGTTCTTCTATAAGTCTGGAGTGATAACTTGCATTATCCATTACTATTACACAGTTCTTAGGAAGAAGATCTATCATTTGTTCGAACCATTCTTGAAAGACATCAGCGTTCATGTCTTCATGGTAGTCACCGGTACGAGTTGATTCAAAAGTTAATAAACCACCTTCAACAAAACCGTCTGAACTGCCAATGTGTACTATTATCAGCCTGCGTCCCTTTCCTGATGGTGAATTTAAACCAGTAGATAAGTTATTTACAAAAGCGTGCCTTTGACTTGTAACAGTTTCATCCTGCCAAAATTTATTTAGTGTATGACCCTCGTTGATCCATGTTTCATCAAGATAAAATATTTTTCTTTTTTGGTTTCTCATTTCCTTTATGGTTCTTAGAAAATGTCTTCTCCATATGACAATATCGCTTCTTTCTAATAAAATAGACTTTCTGGGATTCTTTTTCCAGCGGAAGCCTATTTCTTTAAAAGTTTCCATAACGTACTTCGACTCATTTCTGGTAATCCTTATCAGCTCGAACTGAGACAAAAACTTTATCCAATGTTGGAAATTCTTGTCTAAAGAAGAATTCATGCACTTTCCGTCGAAGTCCTTTTTTAAAATGATATTCTATTTGAAATTTTGGTTTCCCTGGAGCATTACGTGGCATTTGAAAACTACCACATTTCTCTTCTTTAATAACTCTGTAAATCGTAGATTTCCCAACACCAAGTGTACTGCTAACTAACTCAACGGTCTCATCAACACTTTCACATAAACGTTTGTCTGTAAATGATTTAAAACAATTAAATATTAATGTTTTTTCATTAACTGTTAAAGGACCAATTTTTCGGCGTTTACACGGCACTTCCAAATTTTCCATAACATTAGTATACACAATAAACTGCACCTTGCAACAGAAGTACCTACTTTTAGTGAACTGTTAAGAATTTTGAATACGCCACTTGGACCTTCCTACAAAATGGAAAAAACCCACTATCACATTTTCTGTGGAATAAGTTTAGAAGGTAATTATCTAGTCAATTACTGTCGTAGATTCCTGGAATTAAAGAATTAAATGTTTGATTGTTGAAACCCTTACTTCGTGGAATGCACTCATTTCAGATAAAATAAAACGTTTTATTTTATCTAAAGAATTAAACTTTATTTTGCAAATAGGTAGGTACTTATTAAACTTTTATTGGTTATATATAACCAATAAAATAAACATCTTACATTTCTTGCAAATTCATTAGTACCTGTTAACCTCCATCACTCCGACACTGGCAACCTTATTTAGGGATTAGTAACCCTCACAACTATTGTATTCTATTCTGCTCCAACCTTTATACCTGGTGGTCATACTCAATTTAAAATTGTTTTCCTATATACTTCTGTAAACTTGTTGACAAATATCTGTTTTTCATTGAGTCACCCGTATCAACAGTTTAGAGATTTGCATACATAATATATTGTTTTATTACTCTCTCTATACATAAAAATACACTATACTTCAGTCAGTATATTTTTATAGTAAAGCAATAGTTATTACAACTCATTAAGATCCATTCAGACAATTCAACTGTATTAAAAATTTCCAAATGATTCCTTTACGAGAGAATTGTTTGGAGACTACTTATCCCATCGTATATATGGATTAAAGGAAACGAAGAAGTAGATTTCTGTGCTAGAGATGCACAATACACATAACACACTCATATTTATTTGACAGAAAGAATCAACCGATATGTGATAGATGTAATAACTCTCAATATAAAACGTTTTTAAACTGTCCAAAATTTATTCAAGAAAAAATGTGTGAATTGGGCATAAAATATAAAAACAGCAAAGTTACCGTACTAGTGCAGAATTGAATTAATATGGACAAAAAAAAACTGATTTGCTTGAATTATACAATAGAATAGAAGCATGCTTTATTGTCACTGAAAATTGTACAACTTTATCGACAAAGCTTAAAAAAGTTCAAAAAAAAATAATATTAACAATAACAATTAAAATTTACTAAAATAACATAAATCGTCAATATCACAGAATAAAACCTAATAAAATATACAATGCACTGCAAAATTCCACTTAATTGCAAATTGCATAATAAAATCTTACGAACTAGTTTAGGAATAAGTTTAAGCTGCTCCATGTGATACCCAAATATATATAAAAATACTTTGTTGCTTGTACCTTAACGTACTGTACTTCCTTAATTATTCATTAAGAAACTGTTCCACTGAATAATAAGGTCTTTTAGATAGAAAGCTTTTGTCAATTTACGGATTTAAGGAAAGAATTTGTAGATTTAAGTTAAAAAGTGAGATGGTTGTATGATTTTTTTTGCCGAATATAATACATATTTCTTTACTAACTCAGCGGAACGGAATGTGAAAATATACATCAAAGCTTGAATTTCTGGTGGAGTAGTCATGACTAGGTCTTGCTGGAAAAACATGTAGGTGTTTACGAATTAAGCAAACAGTTTCTAGAATATATAGAGAGAGAAGAGTTAAAATTCCGTGATTTTTGAAGTAGCTTTTGCAATGTGTTATTTTACTGAAGCCAAAAAGATACCGTATTGCTCTTTTTTGTAATTTAAAAATAACATCAGATTGGGCAGCTGTACTAGAACCCCAAAAAGGAAGGCCATATCTAAGATGAGACTCCAACAAAGAAAAGTATGTTATTTTGGAAGATGCTAAATTCATTTCCTTCTAAACAGATCTTATTGCATAACAGGCTGAGGCTAGTTTTTTACTTAACAAATCGATATGGAGGGACTATTTAAGGTTGCTGTCTATAAAAATACCAAGAAATTTTTTTAGTATCAATTATAGTGATCTGGCTCTAATTAAGAAAACACTGATTTACCAAGAATCTGCACGATGTAGAAAAAAAGTTTCAAATAAGAAATGAAGCTGAGATAATGTTAAACAAAATATTATTGTTTGGTGTAGCATGAACCGTTCTCTCAGAAACAACGCTTCAAGCGACCGGCGATTTTAACTGCCAGTTACGCGCGCGTAATCAATTTTTTATATAAAATTTGTATTAACTCGAGAGTACAAATTCGATATCTTTTTATTTAGAATCTCTTATCGACAAAAACTAAAATGGGTTTTAAATGTTAAGAGACTAGCTTTCGTATGCAATTTTTGTATTGTGTTCAAACTTAACTCAAACTTAATTTTTTTTAGTGACTACTAGTGTGGTGATTCTTAAATGATTCTCTTGCGACATTTTTATGTTATTTACTATTTTTAAGGGGAATTAATCACCATAAATATTTTGGCTTGTTATTTTCCATTAAAGCTAGTAAATAGTAGTTAAGTATTTCGTATTTACCTTACTCTGAACATCCAATAAATCTGAGTAAGATACTTGTTGTAACAATTCTAATAAATCACTTGATTTGGTTGATGTAAATGAACTATTTAACGCTTTGCCAAATTCAAATGCATGTTCTCTATCGTCCGATGGATAAAAAAATCGAGCTAACGGTGACCCACTTTGTTGGATAATTCCCCTGAACAACCCTGAAAACAAAAAGACTGCTGTTAGATAGTTATATGTTATATATATATATTATATATATATATATATATATATATATATATATTCTTCTTCTTCTGGTTCCTATCCGTTTCGGATGTTGGAAATCACATTGGCAATCATAACCTTGCTCGCTGCGGCTCGAAACAGCTCCGTTGAGGTATTCTTAAACCATGTTCTTAAATTCCGTAGCCATGATATTCTCCTTTTACCGGCTCCTCGCATACCTTTGACTTTACCTTGCAATATAGACTGTAGCAGGGAGTAAACGGTGCTGATGTCTCATAACGTGTCCCAGATATTGCAATTTAATGCGTTTAATCGTAAACACAATCTCTGGTTCCTTCTTAATTTTTCCTAGAACTTCCTTGTTCGTGATCCTTGCTGTCCATGATATTCTCAGCATACTTCTATAAAGCCACATCTCAAATGCTTCAAGTTTTTTAATAGTGGTGTCTGTAAGCGTCCATGCCTCTGCCCCGTACAACAACACAGAGAAAACATAGCATCTCAAATGTCTCATTTTTGTATCAAGGGATATGTTGTGACTTTTGAAGATGGCGCTCATTTCGTTAAAGACCGTTCTTTGCCTTTCCTATGCGGCACTTTATTTCCGTTAATTGCTCCACTGTTCGTTAATAATAGTTCCCAGGTAACAATACTGTTTTACTCGGTCTATCTGCGTCCCACTAATGTATAGATGAGCCCCATTTATATTCTCCTTGCTGATAATCATTTGTTTCGTTTTGTGGGTATTAATGTTTAGTCCGTACTGTTGACTGTACTCGTTTATTCTGTCCATTAGCCTCTGAAGTCCCTCTAAACTATCTGCTATCACCATGGTGTCGTCGGCATATCTAACATTGTTTACTCTTTCACCATTTAGAAGGATGCCTTCGTCTATTCCGTTAAGAGCCTCGTTAAAAATTTTCTTTGAGTACATATTAAATATCAACGGCGATAGGATACATCCATGTCTAACTCCACGTAGTATTTTTATGTGATCTGTTTCTTCTCCGTTATTTTCATGTATGCGGTCTGATTCCAGTAGAGTTCTGAAATTATTTGAGGTCTTTGTCATCCAGGTCTGCCTCTTTTAAAATGTTTATCATCTTTTGATGTTGCACTCTGTCAAATACCTTTTCATAGTCGATCAAGCACCCGTATACGTCGCAGTTAACGTCCCTGCATCTTTTAATCAGAACCTGTACTCCAAAAAGTGCCTCTCTGGTACCCACTGCGTTAATGAAGCCGAACTGTCTGTCCGATATTTGTTCCTCGCACTTCTTATAAATTCTTCCATGGATGACTCCATGACACCATTAGGCATTAGGCTGATTGTTCGATATTCTTCGCACTTTTTAGCCCCCTGTTTTTTAGGTATCGCTATGAATTCTAATTCTAGCCAGTTATCAGGAATGATTCCTGTATTGTATATTTTATTGAAGACAGCCGTGATCCAAAGTATTCCTTCTTCCTCCAAGAGTTTTAAAAATTCAGCTTCGATATTATCAGGCCCTACAGCTTTCCTGCTTTTCATCCGTTTTATTGCTTCATATTGCCTATATATATATATATATATATATATATATATATATATATTATATATATATATATATATATATTATATATATATATATGAAAAATTTCAAGAAGTTTCACTTAACAGCTACGTACCTTTAGCTGCTCTACTTAGCATTTGAAATCCAGTCGCCATACTTCCAGCACTTTCTCCGCCTACTGTTATTTTGTCGGGATCACCTCCAAATTGATGGATGTGATCATGTGCCCATTTAAGGGCCAGAAGTTGATCTTTGAGTCCCAAATTACCGGGTATACTGTCATCTAGTGTCGTTAAAAATCCTGGAAAAACAAAAATAAAAGTTGGTAGTATTTTTCACACTATAAACAAAGTAACAGGATTAACAGATACTTCCTTCATTTGTTGAGTAGATTTAAATCAGTTTTAAGACTAAAACAAATAACAATATTTTTACACAGTCATAATGTTGTGACAATACTATTCTTGGATGCCAGGGAAATCTAAACAGTCCTAATAAGTTGTGGAGATAAAATATAAATATTCGAACGGCGTTAGGAAATTATAAATGACACAAAATCTCAAAAAGGGAGACATAAATGAAATGACAAAAAAAAGGAAATGATAAATAGAAAAAAAAATAACTGTTATCACTTTTAAATATGCAAAGGTAGCTGTTGGTATTCTATTGTTAGTCTTTTATTTTTGTTGATGTGAGTAAACTGTTTTGCTGATGTGAGAAAGCATTGAAGACATGTGGGGAAAAATTAAAAATACTGTCCTGGAGGCAGCAAACTAAAATATACAGAAAGAAAACCGTAAACAAAGAAAACCATAGATGACAAACGAAATATTACAAATTATGGAGAGAAGACGGATGGTAAAAAACAAAAACCTAACAAGATACAAAGAGCTTAACAGGGAAATTGAGAGAAAGATAAATGTAGCTAAGGAAGAGTGGATGAAAGAAAAATGTAAAGAGGTAGAAGATCTGCAAAGGAAGCATAAAGATAGAGAATTACACAGAAAGGTGAAAGAAGTCGCTGGGATATGGAAACCCAAACATTTATCTATTATAACAAACACGAAAAACCAAATGGAATTAGACCCTGAAAAACAGAAGGAAATATGAGAAAATATCTTAAAGATTTGTTTGGTGATCGGAGAGCAGAAGGGCCCCACAAATAGATACCGATGGAAAACTAAGTATTCTAACCGAAGAAGTTATGCGGGCAATAAAAGACGCAAAGAACAACAAGGCACCCGGCGAAGATCTAACAACAGCCGAACATTTTAAACACCTGAGTGATGATGCTGTCGGGAAATTAACCTACCTCTTTAACATTATATATGAACATGGCACTCTACCGCATGACTTGCTAACATCCACATATGTAGCTCTTCCTAAAAAACAAAAAGCAAGGAAAATGTGAAGACCATCGAACTGTATCCCTAATGAGTCATGCTGCTAAGATTTTTATGCGAGTAATTTATAACCGCATTCACAATAAGTGTGAAGAATACCTGAGTCGTTCTCAATATGGTTTTTGGAAAGGTACAGGCACCAGAGAAGCAATAATGGGATTGACACTAATGGCAGAAAGGTATCTCGAGGTTCAAAAACAGCTGTATGTGTGCTTTGTCGATTATAGAAAGGCCTTCGACCGCATTAGACACGAAAAATTGATTGAGGTGCTAAAAGAAGTAGGGCTGGACGGACACGACATAGCTATAATAAGCAATACATACTGGAACCACACAGGATGTGTTCGAACAGACAACGGAAATACCAATTATGTAAACATAGAACGAGGAGTGCGTCAAGGGTGCATTCTGTCCCCTCTTCTATTTAATGTCTATGCCGAAAATATCATCAGAGCTTCTCTTGAAGATCGCCCTGAAGGTGCCAGAGTCAATGGAATCATCATTAACAATGTAAGATATGCCGATGACACCGTAGTATTAGCAGAAACAGAAGACCAACTAAAAATATTGATGAACATACTATCAGAAGAAAGTCACAGACTAGGTTTGGATATTAATCTTTCCAAAACCAAAATCATGGTATTCCACAAGAACCCCATGAACAAATTACACCCAACATACAAATCAATGGTATCACCCTTCAGAGCTCCCAAAGCTTCATATACCTGGGCAGAGAGCTAAACAGTCAGCTAGACCACTCAAAAGAAATTAGAAGACGTATTGAAATAGCAAGATCTGGCTTCATGAACATGCGTAAAATGCTCTGTAACCCCAAGCTATCAATCACAATAAGGTTAAGAACACTAAAGTGTTATGTGTGGTCTCTACTACTATATGGCTGTGAGACCTGGACATTAAAACAGTATGACGTCAACAAATGAATTCATTCGAAATGTGGATGTACCGCCGAATGCTAAGAATAAGCTGGACCAGCAAAACTACAAATGAAGAGGTACTGAAATAATGAACACACGACCTCATCTGGTTAATACAATCAAAATTAGAAAGACGTCATATCTAGGACACATAATGCGCCATAAGGAATTTGAGCAGCTCCAGGTAATATTAGAAGGCAAAATCGAGGGTAAAAGGGGTATAGGAAGAAAGAAGAAATCCTGGCTCCGAAACATCAGAGATTGGACTCACACAACAGGAAATGACTTAATCCATCAAGCCCAGAACAGAGAGAAATTTGCCATATTGATCGCCAACCTCAATAGAGAAGGCACTTAGCAAACCTCAATAGAGAAGGCACAAACACAATTTGAAGTTTAATGGCGTTGATTTAATCTCAAGAATTATGGTTGTAAATCCCGAAACAGCTTCTACTAAGGTTGCGTTGCTTCAAGACGGAAAAAGTGAGCTACATGTTGCTCACTTCCACTATGCACCGTCTTTTTATACGTTTCTTGGCAACCAGAGCTTACACTAGACGACCTGAACTGGTCCCCAGCGAATAACGTACCCTTGATGATCGCTTTACCCTCTTACAAAGTCTACGAGATCGTCGTGTCACGGCTGTACAAATCCGAAATCAACTTCAGTACTTCTGAAATATTAACGTAAATAAACGAACAAATAGAAGAAGGCTTGGAGAAGCAAAATTTGCTACTACAACAGGCCTACAAGGTTAAGCGGCTTTAATTTGTAAATAATTGGAGGCACGATTTATTTACCGATGGGTCCAGATTTACCTTGCAGTCTCCAGATGGCAATGAGAGAGTATGGCGAAGACCAAATGAGCGCTTTGCAGAATGTAGCTTCAGTCCTAAGGTAGGCTATCAAGGTTGCTCAATTATGGTGTGGGCTATAATTTCTCTAGAAATTATACAGAATTGTGAACACGTATAATTATACAGAAGTGTGGGCACGTACAGAATTGTGAATCGTTCTAGAGGGCTCCATAACAGCAGACCTGCCAGGCATATTAATGAAATTCTCTAACATTTTGTTGTGCTTTGTGCTGTTGAAAATGATTTTGTTCTGATGCATAATAATGTAATCAACTGTGTTTAAGTGTGAATTTTAGAAGACTTTAAATAAATTAAATTAAATATTACAATGCTTTAGATTTAATTGTGTAATCTTTCAAATCTTTTTCTTGAATGTTATGGTTCATTGATCTTTTAATAATATTATTATTGAAATAAAAATGCTTACCAAGTGCTCCTAGTCGATAGTTTATTGTTACAACTACTATATCATAATCAATCAAATACTTTGGATCGTATTCTTTCATTGAACCGCTACCACCAAGGAAAGCTCCACCATGAATCCAAAAGAATATTGGCAATGATTTACCAGAACTTGGTTTCTACAAAATAAGTATTTTTAATTTTTTTTAACAAGATGGTATTTTTTATATTTTACGAAAAGTTTGTTCGCAAATCCCTTTATTAGTTCCAGTCTAAAGTCAATGATAGGTAACTTGTCGCTTTTTCCAAGTGTTGCTATTATTTAGCAACCAACCATTGACTATGGCTTTATTAAATATTAATTTCAACGCCACTTTCCAGTACCAATTTAGAGTTTTGCGAATTGGGCCTTGGTAGGAAGCCATTTGATCACTAAAATCAACAGCTTTTTTCAACATTCTAGGTATTCACTTATATATAGACAATAAATGGCAAAATGTAAAAAAAATGATGAATTCAGGTAACTGTGTTTGGTATTTAGTGTATAATGAGAAAAACATACTTACTACTGGTGTGTATACATTCAGAACTAAGCAATCTTCTGTTAGATCTGAGTCAGAACTTAAATCATTATTCATAAACGATGCTTGTGGACACTTTTTTTTATTTTCGGTTACATTTAATACTCCTTCCCATGGACCACGAGGTTTGGAGGGCTAAAACCAAAAATATATATTATATTTTAAGTCACTACAAGTAAAATGTATTTTAAATCTAACGTGTTATTTATTGATGTTAGTTTATCGTTTAAACAATTAGTTATTTTAACATCATAGGCGTTCTGAGATTGACTTTTTATGTGTTTTTAAATTAAGTTAAAATATATTTTGTTTAAATTTTTGATATCTTTTTTATCATTTATTGCGTTATTTTTTTTTTATTTGTATAGACTCTAGAAGCTCTCTCTTTTTCCTGTTAGATTCACTTCTTAGAATCTTGCTTTTCTCAAAATCAAATTTAAGTTTTTTTTTTGTTTTCATGTTTTGTGAGGGCGGTTGAGTTTTTTTGTCATATTTGTGGGAACGTATTCTTGAATTAAGTAGCTGACTGGTTTGTCCAATATAAACTCCATCACAATTCGAGCAGGGAATTTCATATACAACATGCGATCTTTTTAATAGAGGGGTTAATATATTTATATATATATATATATATATATATATATATATATATATTATATTATATATATAATATATATATATATATATATATATATATATTGTTATGATATTTATGTAAAATCGAGGAAAAATATTGGTGTGTTTAAAATATTTCAAAGTTAAAAAAAAAAACATTAAAATAATTCAGAAAATATAACCAACAAAACATTTCGAAGAAGGAAAGTTTTTAAATTTTTGGATTACCTGTATTAAACAAAATGTAAGCTATGCATAAATTATTTCCTTTGTTATACTATACTTGAGTGACCCGCATAATTTTAAGTGAAATCCAAAGACAATTGAACCGGGTTTTCCAAATACATTAACGCAGTGATTAAAGACAATAGAAGAGATTTGAAAGAGGTTTTTGTTAGTTTTTAAGAATTGTAGAAAAATATTATTTGTAAATAAGTTTTAGGAAATTTTATAATTATAGGTAAAAATTTGTTTGTTATCGGAATGAAAGAATGGGGAATTGTGACGAGTTTTGATTGGCGGAGATTGAAAAAGGTGGGATAGGTATGTAGGAATGAAAGTTTAGCTAGATTTCGGAGTGAGAAAAGATAGTCAGTTGGTTTCCAAGGGTGCAAGGCGAACGGCCGTTGTTCTCGGGTAGTTTCCCAGAGGTAGGAAGCAGTAGCAGTGAAAGTTTGTGAGTTTTCGTGTAGTTAGTGTATCTGACAGAAGCTGATCCAGTAAAATATTGTAAGTCATATTTTTCTACTTATATTCCAAGAGTCACTGTTCAGGCCAACGAGAGATTCAGTTTATCGTAAAGAAAAGATATTCCAAGAGTCATTTTTCACTCAGGCCAACGAGAGATTCAGTTTATTGAGAGAAGAAGAAGCTAGCATAATTTGAACGATTCGTGCATTTGAAGGAGATCATTAAGGACGAGATACTTGCAATAATTTATTGTAAGATTGCTGATTACTTAGGGAGCGGCCACGAGTAAATAGTATAGTCTACAAATAACAAGGATTTGGACCACTCATCATCAGAGAGAGATAGTTTTGTTTTCTGCAGTTTTTCTTTCATTGATAACACAATTTTTACACTTAATTTAGAAAGGATATAAATATTTTGATTAGGAGATTTAGAGTAATACTTGGATTTTGAGATTTCAACTAATATTGTTTGTACCATTAATTTTGAAGGTTCACGTACGTAGAACAAAATTTTGAGAATCATTATATGAGATTTTGTTTATTGAAAACTTTTGAGTGTGAATTATTTCATTATTTTTATTTCAATATATAGTGTTAGATCATATGTGTTTTTTATTATTCCGGTATTCTTTGGACCTTACCTTTCACATGTAATAGCATAGATATTGAAGCACGAATATAACCCTGAGATAAGAGAATTAAAAATTGTGATAGAATCATAATCATATCATTTAAATAATTTTAATTAATCAAAAAATTAATTAGCTAATTATTGCTTGGCGCACCAAGACTTTAAATATCACAATAACTGGCTTCCAAAACGTGGGGCTTGAAAATATCGCAGCTTTACATGTGAAGGAAGGGAAAGAGATCTGGAATAAGTACAGGTGATCCAGAGATAAAAACATATAACATTGAGGGAATTTGAATTTGAAAGTATTTTGACAATTTTTTCCAGTGGATATAAATTTGATTTATTGATTGATCGTAGTTAGTTGATATTTACTGCTATTGAATTATTTGATTTTATTTTACCAATCGTACATTTGATATTTATTTTGAATTATTTGAATTTTACTGATTGCATATTTGATATTTGTCGTGAAAATTTATTACAATTGGGGAGAAATATTGTCGTGTTCTGCAACATATAGAGTGTTGTAAAATTTCACATTTGGCGGGGACAAAAACAGTAACGAAAAGAAACAACATGTCGACCACAAGGAGTCAAAGCAAAATGCAAGAAAGGAAGGAGGATAACAGAGAAGAGGAAACAATGTTTGAAGAAGGATCGGATAATGAAGGAAATGTTACAATAATAGAGGAAAGAAAAGAAACAGGGATGTTAGAAAAATTATTAGCAATGATGCAAATACAGACACAACAAATACAAGAGAATCAAAATCAAACAGCAAAGAAAATGGAAAAGACAATACAGAAACAACGAAAACAAACAACAATGGAGAAAAACCAACGGAAACAAGACAAGCAATAGAACTAAATAACAGGAATATAGAGCAGCGTTTGGAAAACTATGAACAGGAAATTAAAGGATGTGTTGAGGGATAAAGAAAGAAATGATACAACAAATAGAAGAAATAACCCTAAAGAATATAAAACAAGAGAAAGAAATCAATGAAATTAAAAATAAAATGGGAGAACAAGAAAACATAATGAAGGAAATCAAGATTGTCCAGAAAAAGGAATTAGAACAGTTAGAAGAAAAATTTGAAATGGCGCTACAAGAAGACAGGAAGGAAGTAGAAAGGAGATTAAAGCAAAATGAAAAACAAATGGCAGAAATTGAACTAAGAGGGGTCGAGAGAAAAGAAGTTATCATCCATGGAACAAGCGAGGCGAAAATACAATTTGGCGGGGATATTCGAAAAACACACCCAGTACCGTTTGTTAAAAATTTGAAAACCAAATTACAACATATTAGATATTTTGACGATTGCAAAGAAACTATTAGAAACCATCTGAAAGAAGGAGCAGCGTTATGGTATGAAAGCAAGGAAGATGAGTTTGAAAATTGGACAGATTTTGAAAATAAATTTCTCAACTATTTCTGGGGGAAAAATAAACAGAGAGAAATCAATCAAGAGCTACAGAATGGAAAATATCACGAAAAAATGGGAATATCTGAAGAAAGATATGCTTTGCAGATATATAACAACTCAAAATACCTGGAATACAAATATTCTACCGAACAGCTGGTAGAAATGATCAGCAGACATTTTGAGGAAACGTTGGAAGATCACGTGATTTTGAGAAACTATCAAGATATTGATAGTTTGTGCCAATTCCTTCAATTAAAAGAAGCGAAAAGAAGAGAAATGAGAAATAGAAGACAACATGACCAATATAATGGACCGGAAAGAAGGTATTCATCAAATTATGACCAGAGAAACCGACATCCCAGATCAACAAACGAATATAGGCCGAGAAATTACAATAATTACAATAGACAACAAAATTACGATAACAGGAATGACACACAAAATAGAACATATGAAAATCACAACAGGAATAGAGATGCACAAAATCCTCCGAATAGGAATACTAACGAACAAAGGGACGATAGAAATAACCAGAGCTTCCAACAACAAAATAGAAGGGAGATGAATCATGTAGCAATAGGAAACGAAAGACAAATTTCTAATTCTAATCTAATATTTTTAGATGCATTTATAAAACATAAAGCGATTAAAATTGTGATTGATTCTGGATCGGAGATATCGCTAATCAATAAAAAACTAGTAAAAGAATTAAATTTGGACAGATTTGTGTATAAGATTCCTAGGGTTGATTTAGTGGGTGCAAACAATAAAAATTTGACGACAGTAAACGAAGGTTTGGGAGTACAGATAAGAGTGGGAGACAAATTCCATATTATGAAATGTGTGGTGATTGAAGATTTAAATCATGATATGATAGCGGGAATTGATGAATTGAGGAAAAAAAGATATCACCATAAATTTTTCGGAAATAAACTGGAAATCAGAGCAGAACCAGACAACACAGAAGAAGAAAAGCAAACAGATAGGAAAACAAATTCTGGAAGGATCAATGCACAGGAAAAACGCAAAGAAATCGATATGACTGTAGAGGATAAACCGAAAGTACAAGAACAAAATCTAACAGAAGAGAAAAAGAGAAGGAAGAAAAAGAAGAAGAGTTCGAAAAGAAAGCAGGAAAATAAGATGGAGACAAGAGAAAAACAGGAAATAGAAGGTACAGAAGAATTGTTGGCAACCGACGATAAAACAGAATGGAAGCAGGAAGAAAAAGAAGGTATCATCAGAGAAATGAAAGGAATAGAAACATGGTGCTCGGAATACCAAAGGGAATTAGAGGATAAAAAGAAAACAGAAGAAAAAATGGCACTGAAAAATACACAACAAGAATTGTAGAAAAATATTATTTGTAAATAAGTTTTAGGAAATTTTATAATTATAGGAAAAAAGTTGTTTGTTATTGAAATGAAAAAATGGGGAAATTGTGACGAGTTTTGATTGGCGGAGATTGAAAAAGGTGGGATAGGTATGTAGGAATGAAAGTTTAGCTAGATTTCGGAGTGAGAAAAAGATAGTCAGTTGGTTTCCAAGGGTGCAAGGCGAACGGCCGTTGTTCTCGGGTAGTTTCCCAGAGGTAGGAAGCAGTAGCAGTGAAAGTTTGTGAGTTTTCGTGTAGTTAGTGTATCTGACAGAAGCTGATCCAGTAAAATATTGTAAGTCATATTTTTCTACTTATATTCCAAGAGTCACTGTTCAGGCCAACGAGAGATTCAGTTTATCGTAAAGAAAGATATTCCAAGAGTTATTTTTC